GGATGAGTCCAATGTACGATTTGCACGGGGCGGCAGAGGAGAGTCAGACGCACCGTCCACCAGGGTCTGTGCGGCGGCAAAGTCGGCGACCGTCGCGTTTGTCGCGAGACCCTCGCATTTCAGACACATCGAAGTATCCGGACTGGGAAATGCGGGGTGCAGCATTGCGCGCAGGGGAGCAGCTCTGCGGGGGATGCGAGATCAGGTTCCCAGTGGGAGCGCGTTGGTTCATGGGACCTGCCTGGCTGAGAACCACTCCACGACGTTGCAGATCGGAGTCGCATGGCGTAGAATTGCCGCCGCCCGGGAGGTCTGGCGCCGCATTGCCGGGAGAGGGCGTCCTAGACGCGGAGCACCGAGGACGGCGCCGACGCAGGTCAGAACCAAAGTAATACTCAAGGGGCGGAGAGGAACATGGCTCAGGGCACAACGGTCGGCGTCTAGCAGGCGGTGGAAACCAACACGCTTGCTGTCGAGTTTGGCGCCCAATCGTGATTTCGGATCCATAGCTCGATGTTCACTCGCGATACTTACCAGAGGCAGAGAGTATGGCTGAACCCCATTAGAATGTTTGAGGGATGCTCTGAGTGAGTATTTCAAGAGGCCAACGATCTTAAAAAGAGGAAACGATCGAGTCAATGCTCATTCGGAGCAAGCGCAGATCTTCAAAGCTTAATCTTATCTGATCCCAAGTTTTTCCGGACGGCCCGCCACCGGACCATGTTACTGGTGACAAGTGTTTGTCAACGTCATCACTGGCGTTCTCGACTTCGGCTGTCGCTGGAATGGCCCAGCAAGTCCCCAGCTTCTTCTCGAAACCCGCATACGTGCGTGTTCACCATATCCAGTCGCAGAGACCCCCCAAATTCACCTCTTGCGCTGTGTTTTTTTCGCTAGGACCATGCCGTCGCGGGAATAGCGCTGGCACCGTCGCGGTGCTCTGCATGAAACCCGCTCGATCTGCTCAAAGTCAAGTTCCAAGTATCTCGGAGCAACCCTGCTGGCGGAATCGGGAAGCAGATCTGGTTCTCGCTGCGGGATATACAGCGGCAGGAGGGATGGAAAGGGCTCTACCGCGGTTTGGGTCCCAACATCGCCGGGAACGCGTCAAGTTGGGGGCTTTACTTCCTGTTGCGTCTCCAAAAAAAAACGCGTTCGGTCTCGCTCCCTGACACGTCGTCTGACCAGTTATAACATGCTGAAGAAGCGCGCGGCGGACAACAACACCCAATCCGGCCGCGCCATTATCGTCGGGGTCCATCCTGCTCTGTTCTGCCCAAGCGAGTTCGAACCCCTGCATTCTTCACCTCTCGCGTCAGACGCGCTGACGACGTCCTCTCCTCCCTAGGTGCGGTAACGGCGATCATGACAAACCCGATATGGGTTGTCAAGGTCCGCATGTTCACGACAACAGCAGGGGCCCCGGACGCGTACCGGGGTGTGTTTTCGTGCGTAGTCTTGATTACGCCCCCGGGATCTCGTGTATGACGGACCCCCCTCTCTCGCAGACGGGCTGACGTCGATTTTCCGTACGGAGGGCGTGCAGGGGCTGTTCCGCGGGACGACACTCGCGCTGGTCGGCGTGAGCAATGGCGCGATCCAGTTCATGGTCTACGAGCGCATGAAACGGTGGGGCTTCGAGCTCAAGAAACGGCAGTTCGAGCTCTCCGGGAAGAAATGGACCACGGATGCGGACAAGCTGGTGCGTGGGTCAGGTCGCTGCTCGGACACCCGAGTCCCGTTGACCCGGGTCCCAGTCAAACACCGCGTACTCCGTTATGTCGGGCGGAAGCAAGATCGCCGCGCTGGCCTTGACTTACCCGTACCAGGTCGTCCGGTCACGCATCCAGGTGCGTCCAGATTCGTCCTGACATGGATCTCGGTCGAGCAGATCGGCAGAATAACGCTACGCACCAACTATACCCGAACATACCTGCCACAGTGCAACGGACGTGGGCTGAAGAAGGGGTGCGAGGCTTTTACCGAGGGCTCGGTACCAATCTGGTGCGCGTATTGCCCGGGACGTGCGTGACATTCGTCGTGTATGAGAATATCGCCTGGTTGCTGCGCTCAACGGCGGCGTCGGGACGGTCTAGAGTCATAGCACGACGCGGAAAAGTACGATTTACCAGCAGATAATCGGGGAGATATGTACTTGGACTACTTATTAGATGTTATATAATCACACGCCCACTTCACTTGTGCAGAGACACCGCACCCTGACCCGGGATTCCAGGCGCGTCGACACTCGAACACGGCCCTCGTGACTGGATCCCGAGACTCTCTCATCAAATCCAACATAATGCGGCGAATGTTGAGATCTCAATGTCCACAACGTTCCGTGCGTCAAAGAATCTCAGGATTGCGAAGCCCCATTGATGGGGATCGACGACATGACCTCCGTCGAAGTGACGGTCGTCCTCCTGGGAAGATTAGCCTTTGCAGCAGGATCTGCTTCTCTTCGATCGGGGCGACCTTGTGGTCTTCTGCGCCAAAAAAGGGAGCCGCGTGTCTGAATCGGGACCTGCGGCATTTCCAGTCGACAGTCTCCGCTGGTGACCTGCTGTCGGAGGATCTCGTGGGCGTGCCATATTTAGGGTGAACCCCCGCAAGGGCCCAGGACGGGTATGAGCTCCGCATGGTTTTTCCGACAGTTTCCCAGACCCGGGAGACAGCGCATCCAATAAACAGTATCAGAAATTCTGACTTGAGATAGCGCGGTGAGGTGCATGCGGCCCTCGTCATATCTCGGTCCCTCGAGCTTCTCCGCATGAAGCCAGCTGCCTCTTGGATGACTAGCGACCGCAGCCTTGGGACAAACCACGGGAAAGCGTGCCTCGAGCTTGCCGCGGCGGGGAACTCATTGAGTCCGAGCGAGTATAGGCCAAAGCATCCCCGATCAGACCAATGCCGTATGTTTATTGCCATCTTGGGACGCTGCCGCGCCGGCGACTGTGTCACTGGCAAAATTTCGGTCTTGAGAACCCGGTTCGCCTTGGACTTTGGAGCGGGTGCTAACACGGGACGAGCATTGGAAGGTGTTCTGTAGTTGGTTGAGGAGCTTATCACGCACCATTGATGTTTTCCGTAATGTAGAACCGGCGCAGAATAAGAATGGCTTCCTCCCTTCGATATCCGCCGTGCGCCTGGTACGAAGGATGCGTCGGGTGTTCGATCCTTGGGCGCGGTCAGCTCGCGCTTCTCTCGAGACGTCATCAGACAAAGAGGGCGCCCGCACTTGTCATTGACGCTGATGACTCCTTCACAACCGCCGAACCGGTCGTTCGCACATCCGTAGAAAACTTCCTTGATCCCTAGCTGCCGCAACGCAGATGCGCACATAATACACGGCTCCACGGTCACATACAAGACTGTCTCCGACAACGGATACTGGGCAGGCCGAGTCGAAGCGGCAGGTGTGAGTTCCGGATCAGCAAGAATCTCGTCGATGGCTTCCAATTCGGCATGCCGAGTAGCCTGGTGAGAAATGCTGATATTGAACACATATTTGCGGGGTCGCACATCATCGACCCACGTTTCGAAGCTGGTTCGTTCTATTCCGGGCCCGTGCGATGATAACGTTCTCGCGCACAAACACGCACCCGACCGGTACTTCCCCAGCCGTGAATGCTTCTTCTGCCTGTCCAGAACGCAAGGATTAGATCCCCCACGCGTGGTGCAGCGTTCGGTACCATCTTCATTGCTTCGCCCATGAACGAGTCGTGGGATTCCATCGTCATGCGCTTGGCGGTCGGCTTAAAGAGTAGATGCGGAAATCGAAGGTGGTGGTAGAGGAAGAGAAGGCGGCCGAGGTCGCTGAATTTGTCGTTGTTGTCGGTCGTCAAATGGCTCGTGCGATGGCGAACTCAAAGCAAGCTACTGCCCTGGTCTCAGAGAACCACGCAGAGAAGGAACGAAAATAGGGCTGCGGTCCTAACAAGAGTTCTTGCGGAGGTGGCGATTGAGCCTTGACAGTGGCAGTGTGATAAGATAACATGTTCCTGGTAAACTACATTCTTGTCTGTAAATATGTGTGCATGTACACGGAATCTAGACAGTGGCTCGAGATGAACAGCTGGATTTCAGACTCGACTGTTCCTTCTGTCGCTGTAGGTGCTCTCTCTGGGGTTCCAGCGCCCGTGGAATGGCCTGTAGAAGGCCGCATTGGCGATCGCGACGAAGACACTCGCAGCTAACAAGAACAGCAGAACGATCCATGACACCCACGAGAATGCAACGAGCGTTGTGAGCAGCCGACATGCGTGATACTGATGGCAGAATCCGAGGTTTCCCCACAGTGACTGGGAATGCGCATGTCAGACATAGTTCTTCCGCGGCAGAATGTCGAGTCCGCTCACCGTCGCGATTGCTGCTCCAACGAGGTAAAGCAGGAACAGACTGCCGAGGACGACGATCTCCGCGAAGAAGGTGAAGATCCAACGGTCCTCCCGCATATGGTGGATAGTCAGGACACTGCAGCCCTGTCAGCTTCCTCATCGGACCAAAGGGAACAATCGACGGACGCGTAGACAGCCCAGAACATCCCCAACAGAGAGCTGAACAATAGCTCAACAACAATAGGATCTAGAAATACGCAAATTCTGGTCAGCCTGGGACAGATCCATGCGGGGCTCGCGAGCCTACCGTAGAAATTGTGTCCGTTGTTGAGAGGATCGCCTGTTGGCAGATGTGTCGTGTAATGCAGTCGTGCACCGCAGAGTGCAAAGAGAACGAAGGAGAGAATCGCCTGCACGGTCGAGAATGAGCTCTTCTCAGTCTGCTTGGAAGAAGGGTGTGCAGGAAAACGCACAAATAAGCAGTACAAGCAAGTCCGTATTAGCCCCAGCATAGTAGATATCGAAGTCGACCTGGGATTGAAGCTGAAGCGCTGAAGATTGTAAGGAAGCTGGTGTGCTCTACCACTCGTTGGAGTGGGCTCATTTTATAAGGTTGCGCCTTGCTGTTATGCTACGTCATGCCAGCCACTAGCCACGAGGCTTCGCTGTGCTAGCGCTCATTTGCGGCACAAGAGTCTGACATGCTTCAGTTAGGCGCGGGGGCTGCCAAGATGGCATGCGCTCGGGGTGCGGTCTAGGTCTGGAGTGCTTAACCTAGCATGGGTGGAGGATCAAACTCAAGGAAACACCGTGGATGAAGGGAAGAAACATTCTAAGCGGGACAGATGAATGAATGATTTCCTGTAGCAAACTACAACGATTTTAGGGATGCGTCAAACGACGCTGGCAATTATGCGTACTCTATCTAGTTATAGGTAGCAGGCATGCTGAGGTTAAATGTCCAGGGCATTGCTTAACACGAGTAAGATAGCAGTTAGGTTAGTTGATAAGATCAAACAGGTAAGGGTTACGACGGCGCTCGTTCAATTCAAGTGGATGGGGGAACGATGGGGTTAGTACATGGGCGCCGAAGGGAAGATGGAGAGAAGGAAAGAAAGTCGGAATCCGCATTGTTCTACTCGTCGGCCGACCAGGTTGAGGGGCACGCGATGCCGTTGGCCTTGAGCAGATCCTGGGCCATCATCGCCCTCGTTCGCCAGCGCTCGACATCGCTTTTGAGGCTAGTCACGTTGTCCTCGAGCAGCTGCTGGTGCTCAAGCTTCCGCTTGCGACTTTTACGAGCAGCGAGAGTGTTCTGCCGCCGTTTCCACTCGATCGAATCCTGCTCGCTGGGCGTCGGCGAGATTTCCGCCAAATCTTGCTCGTTGAAAGCGGCAGAGTGAAGCCGCTTCTGAACAAAGGATGCAGGCACAGCCTTGCGGGATGTCACAGACGGAGTGACATACGACCGCTTTTGAGTTGGGGCCTCGGAAGAAATGAGGGCCTCTGGCTTGAGATTTTTACGGGTGCCAGTTGCCGCCGCACGCTTCTTTTGAGGAGCAGGAGCGACAGCGGCTGCGACTGACGCCGACACGCGTGACTTGAGGCTAGTGGCTGACGGATCTATGGTATCGAGCGCTGGAGTCCCAGGCGAGATCGTATATAACGGCGGGAGGGATGGGAAGCTAGGTTCCTTGGAAGTGAACTCGAAAGTCGGATAGGCCGACAGCCCGCCGAACAGCTCCAAGTTATCCGAGTATCCAGCATCCGAGATGAGGGGACCCGACATCATGTCAGCCTCGCTCTCGAAAGGAAGAACGGGTGTCGTCAAAAAGTCGCTGATGGGACTATCGTCGAGCGGAGAAACAGTAAAGTCGTCTAACGGAGCTTCCATCGGCGACGTGAGATACGCATCAACGTCGAACGTGCTGGCGGCTTCGTTGAACAATGGGGAGGCGGAATCTGAGAAGAGAGGAGAAGTGCAATCGAAGTTATCTCCCAAGCTAAGAAACTCGGGCGATGCTGGGATAAACATTTAGGCCAGATAAGGAATCAGTCAAAGCGGACACACTTAGGAGCTCTTCGATTGCCTTCAACGTCTTGGCCCTCTCCCCGTCTGGCGGCGCTTGCGCCGCCTCGGGAACAGATTTGGGTTCAGTGGGGTTGTGTGATAACATGGTCAAGTAATTCTGGCGGATAGAGTCGAAATCGAAAATGGAAGACACGGGAGGTTTGAGCGCTGGTTGGGGTGCTGAAGCTTTGGAACTATTGGGTGCGAGACTTGGAGGCGGAGGAAGATTCTGAGGTATGCCATAATGGGCGACGAGGTCCTGTGAAGTGGTAAAAACGGGGATGTCCGAAGACGGTCGGGGTGGGTGTTTAGGAAGACATGGGAGGAAGTACTATGAGCACTTGAAAGGGAGCTTTCAAGAGATGGGCCATGGACGCTAAGAGCCGTTGACGAGTGGGAAGAGGCACAAGGGTTCAGTAAAGGGCGAACATCTTGGCACTGGGTTGTAAGGTTATTGTTGTGTAATGAGGTGGAAATCGCGACGGGGGCTGGGTGCTCAGTGGGGATGGTTGAAGAAGGCGGCACGGGGGGCGGCCTACGTCTACGATCCGTGGTCAGTTGAGTTTGCAAGGTGTCATTATCATCATCATCGTGTATTAGCCCATCGGCGCCATCCTCGGTGGTGGTGGTCAACATCAAAGCTGTGCGTCCACGACCTTCCGGCTACGGACACGAGGCAGATTGTTTACTGGTGTTCGTATCCACAGAAGTTATGATTGGTGCGGTTACGCTGCCACCAAACACGAGGATGCAGCGAGGACATCACAAATAGATCGTTGGTGGAAGTAACTCACGGATGCCTCAGACAAGTCTTGCTAGGCTGGCGTAGAACTGCGCAGACTGTAAGTCTGCTTCAGCTCTGATTGTGGTGGTTGGGACCAAGGGGTGTATCGAGTGGCTGTGGGCTGGCTCTGACTCACCCTTCGGCTGATAGTACCTGCCGGCGGGCCGTACCGTAACACATGTGGGTTTGCACTGCACTTGCTGACGCATATTCCGCGAACGACGCGCGACAGGACGCTCATCGGCACAGGGACGAACACTCCAGGGACATCCATTTCACTCTGTACATTCTCATTCGCAGCATGCATTCTGCCAGCGCGATCAACCGTTCTGCATGCATTTGTTTAAACAGGCCTCGGTATCTCCGCAAGCAATCATGATAGGACCTCCGTGTTCAGGATGTACATAGACAGACGTTGCTTCCCTTCTCAGGGTGTACCTGGGTCGACACACGCATGCTCTCGCTTATCGTCGTCGCCCTATTCCTCTCCCAGGCAATCGTTGCCGCGAGTTTCTCTCGTCCCCCTCCTGAAATCCGTGGTCTCAAACTCAAGAGAGAACTGACTGAGATCCCGACGACCTGTCAAGCCGGATGTGCGCCTTTCGGGCCATTTCTCACCGGTGCTGTGAGTTTGAAGAATCGGCTTCTCGCTATGCCTGCCTTCGCTCATCGATCCTGATCAAGTCTTGCTCGGTGACTCAATGCTGCTTGTCTGCATTCCAGAAGGGTTACTTTAACTGCTTTACGTGTGCCGGCACTGCGGTCAACGCAACGGACTATACTCTTGCTCAGGAATACGTCGACGGCGAGTCGCTTTTGAAGTCGGGAAACGTTCTATATCTTATCGCGATCCAGTGCTGACAACGTCTTGCATCGGTGAAGGCATGGCTTTGCCCGTGTTGACTTTTCCCGGACAAGATCAGAATCGTGCCCTAGCTACTGCTTTGCCACCGGATGCGTCCGCTGTCCCAGTGTTTGCTGTACGTCTCGAAGCGACTACGTTTTTCACTGATCATGAATCCTCATCCTTCCCCAGTCTGCCGCTGTCCCAACTTCAACTGCTCCGGTCCCAGCGGTACCCAGTCCGAGCAAAAGCAGCGCTGCTGGTCGCAATCTGAAGGTCTCAGTCACAGTCGTAGGGTCGCTGGGTTTATTGAGACTTTTCTTGTGATTCCCGGTACATCGGTTTTTATACTTCAATATGTGGAGTTTCACAGTTCCAAACGATCATACGTTCAAAGACTTCTGCTGCCTTTTATTGGTCTCCATGGCAAACGCACGCTCCATGGCTTTCAACCGTTCCAATCTTTCTCCCTCCAGGTCTGTGCTGTTTTCACGCGCAATTCCTTTGCCGTCATCTCTCAGCTTGAAACCCTTCTTGAGCTTCATCATGCCAACATAGCCCACTTCACTGACACCCCGCACGACCCGATCCGCGTGTCGCTGGGCAGCTGTCATATGCACCAGTACATGGGCCGGAGGGCCTTGGCGCGCTCGACGGATGGTACAGGGTAAGATTTCCCCAGCCCGCTCCCTGACCCGTTCTCGTGTCTTATTTGCGATCTTTGCACGACGCGCGGAGCGTAAAGTATCCCGTAATTCTGCGGTGACGGGCATCTTCACCCGGTCGTAATCGCGCTGTAGACTGGCTTGCACTTCCTCTCGCAAGGTCTCCAGCGGAGTTGCTAATGCGAGTGAGATTTCTTGGGGGCACCAATAGGCTCAAGTAAAAATGCTCACACCACTCTTTCACGAAACCGTGAAACACAGGTTCGAAACTAGGCTCGTCTTGCAACAAGTTGTACTCGGAATCGGCTTCCCGTTGGATGTCCAATAATGTCTCATCCAAGGCCCCAATCCGGACCAGACGACGTGTGCGCCCGTTCTTGCGTTTGCGAATGATATATGACAGCGCCAGAGGCTGAGGCTTGATACGAGGAAGAGGTGGATTAAACAACGTCGCTCTCATCAGAGCACCCGTCATGATCCACCTCGACCGTCGTCGTTTGATTTGTTCAGCCTGAAAGACTTGAGTACTTGAGGACGACTGCCATTAGGAATAAACGCACTCGTTCAACTAGAACCAGCCGTTTCCAATCTTCCTTCTCCCGTTTCGCATTGATTAGGCGGGAATAGCGCTGGAGAATCGCGCGCTGCCGTTCGTCCCCGCCCAGTGCTCGTTTGAACGCATCTAATAACTCAAGAAGGCATCAGTATTGAGCTGAAACACGCATGTCACTTCAGACCTTGTAACCCGTGTTTAGTCCTTTCCTCGTTTCCTCCGTGCCAGTCGAGTTCTGATAGCGGCGGAAGAGAGTGGAAACCCGCCAACGTATCTAAATTCGAGATTAATATCGCGACGCACAGCGTGGTGGAACTCACACTCTCGTGGGGCGCGTGTCGAAGCAGGTTTCTGTATAGAGAGAGAGTAGGTACGCGATGGATGGCAAGTTTGAAGAATGGGACTCGAGGCCGGACACGACGAAGGGGAGAGACCAGACGCGCGAGGTTAGCGCGGAAGGCGACGCTGGCTTGAGTCGGCGTCGTCGACATGCGATTTTAAACCATGAGTGGGTGTGTAAAGTAAAGCAGCCCTAACCCTATATAACTCGCTTTGACCAGACCAGATCCTGGTTCAAACGTTCAAGCCTGAGTTCGAGGCTAATTGGCAATTGCCTTTTGCGACGAAATGCCCAAGTTGTTTCTTTACCGTACATGTTTCCGGGATTCGATCGCCTACTGTCGAGCAAAAGACCAAGTAAATCAGTATCGACTTGAACGTAACACTGTCTATTTCGATCCAGAAGCGTTGATTGGGTCTGGTCAGTGGCCGGTTGTTGACGTCAGAGCTAGTGAAGAGTTCGGATCCGTTGGCACGCGTGCGCACACATCAATCTTGACTCAGGCCCTCATCTTGTTTCTTCTCCATGGCTAATGTCGTACAACATACCTCTTCTTCCCGACCTCCTCGCAACCTCCTCATTTCTCTATCTCATCAACGTCGCTGAGACCGTGTTCGCGCGCCTTATCCACGCAGGGTTGTTGGGTTCCCTCTGCATTGGAATCGCATTCGCCCCACAGGCAGCCCACATCCTACCTACCGCCATTCAAGATGCCTCCACCACTCTCGGCTACATCGGGCTGCTCGTGATCGTATTCGAAGCCGGTCTCACCACAGACATGACGCTGCTTCGCAAAAACCTCGCGCTCTCCAGTGCAATCGCGTTGACAGGAACCGCCATGCCAATCTTTCTGTCGATCGTCCTCTTGCATTACGGATTCAAGTATGGGACACTCGAGTCGTTTGCGTCCGGCGCTGCGCTGAGTTCGACGTCGTTGGGCACGACGATGGCACTGCTAAAACCAGAATGGCGGGCGACAGTGGCCGGGACGGCGTTGATGACAGCAGCACTCTTGGACGATGTATGCGGCTTGGTCATTGCGGCCGTGCTATCCCAACTCGCTGGTGCCAGCGTCGTCATCCCTTGGTACATCATTGCCCGCCCCATTCTCGTCTCTCTGGCGTTTGCGATTGGGACGTTCTTTGCTGCTTTGTCGTTAGGCTGCTTATTCCGGTGGTATCCAGTGAAGTTGCGGAACAAATCTCTGCTTTTCATAATGATCGCATTGCTCACTGGATATGTCGCTGGTTCCCACTATGCAGGCACCAGTGAGCTCTTTGGCGCGTATCTGGCGGGTGCATTACTAGCTTACATCTTTCCGCGAGACGGTAGTCTCAGTGCATTCGAAACCCACATCCGACCTATTCTCCATGTTTTTCTGTCGCCCGTGTTCTTCGCTTCCATCGGCATGGCATTGCCCATTCGAGCGCTGGGATCGATAAACGGATCAAACAGAGTCGTTTGGCGCGGACTCGTGTACTCGATGCTGATGGGCTTGGCCAAGTTCTGCTCCGCATTGTGGATGTTGGTTTGGCGGACCGACGTCCGATCTGCGGTCCTTGTAGGCTTTGGAATGATAGCTCGTGGTGAAGTGGCCCTCATTGTCACTCAACTTGCCCTTCCTTTGCTGAGCACTGAAGCATACGCCGTTGTGACGTGGGCGACTCTGCTCAATACTGCCGGTGGAGCGATCCTCGTGGGATGTTTTCTTCGAAGAGTGGCTGAAATCGAGTGAACTATGGTCTTTCATCGCTTGCAAATTGAATCTATTGATGTCGTTTCTTATAATTGGATTTTTCCCGACTAGATGCTTGAATCTCGTTCAATCCAAAGCAAGATACTTGACTTGCGTTTGCCAACCCGATTATCAGTGCATCAGGATTCAATCAGTGTATTGAATGACAACATTCAAGGTAATATACACATTCCATTTGTCTTCTCTTTCAATTGCCTTCTAAATTCACAGGCGGTCAACGTTACCGAGATCTTCGCAAGCCACCTTAACACGAGCAGAGAGGGTCTTCTCGCCCTCACGAACCCAGACACGGGGATCGTAGTACTGTGCGATCAGGTGAGGAACGCAGCGGCACATAGGATGAACAACTAGCCTTCTTGTTGGGCTTGTCAGCACCCTCCGGGTTTCCGACCTGCGACTGGAGGTATCCAGATTTGCTTGTCACGAAGTCCTAGGGGCCGAGATAAGGTTTCTGTCTTCCAGCGCAAGATGTGAACCGCACCCGAATACCAACGAGGTAGGCAAATTGGGTATCAGTGTCCACGTTCATCTTCACTACACCGTTTCCGACAGCAGTCTTGATTTCTTCCTTGGTCGAACCAGATCCACCGTGGAAGACGAGGTAAAGAGGCTTGGCGTTAGATCCGCCGAGCTTGCTGCTGGCAAAGGCCTGGTGCTTGTTGAGCAGTTCGGGGTGGAGGCGAACATTGCCAGGCTTGTACACTCCGTGGACGTTACCGAAGGCAGCAGCGATGGAGAAGTTGGGGCTGATCTTGCTCAGAGCATCGTGGACATCGAAGACATCCTCCGGCTGGGTGTATAGCGAGTTGTTGTCGACGCCAGTGTTGTCAACGCCATCCTCCTCTCCACCGGTAATACCGATCTCCATCTCGAGCCACAAACCAATCGGAGCCATGCGCTTGAAGTACTTGACACAAGTCGCGATGTTGTCCTCCTTAGACTCTTCAGACAGATCCAGCATGTGCGAAGAGAACAGGGGTTCTTGGTGCTCCTTGAAGTAAGCTTCGTCGGCCTCCAGCATGCCATCGAACCATGGCAACAGCTTGTGAGCGCAGTGGTCACTGTGCAGGATAACGGGTCTACACAACCAGTCAATATCAATCAGAGAGCGGAGCCAGAAAGATCGGAAATTTCGAATTCCAGCGCATCTTCTGAACATACGAATCGAAGCTCACTTACACGCCGTAGGCCTTGGCGACAGTTCGAATGTGGTGAGCAGCGGCGATGGCACCAGCAATCGAAGCCTGCTGCTTATCGTTGGCCAAACCCTTCCCAGCGAAGTAGGCAGCTCCTCCTTGAGAGACTTGGAGGATGATGGGCGATTTGACATCCCTGTGCTCGCCAATGAACTCGGTGATATAGGTGTGCGCAGAGTAGGATCGTTACCGGGCGGCCTCTAGGACTGCATTGGCGACGGACGAAGACGTGACGTTCTGAAATCGCCAAGTCAGCCCCGCATGATACTTCAGGAATTGAAAGAGACGTACGATGGCCTGGGTCGGCAAGGCTCGGGTTCAGGAGTTCCCCCACATTCCACGGCAAATACTCACAGGGATGGCGAACTGGAGGAAAAGACGTTAAGAAGAGCTATATGGATCTCGTTGACGCGTACACACCTGCTTTTCCTTCGCGTAGTCGAACACTTTGCGAACATTTTCGCCAGTGAGGACGCCAGTCTACGATATACTGTTAGACAGGACAAGCCGTCGGCTGGGGGTCATCACGGACAGGTACGATATCAAGGAGACCCATGGTTGCAGTGTTGAGCAAGAAAGGATGTAGTGGTTTGGAAGAAGATGTGGGATCTGGCCATCGATTGCTGACGTCAATTATATCTCCCCAAGAAAATAGCCCCTATTCACGCTCTAGATCCGGCATTTTTCCACCACGCAAAAGGTTGTCAAGATATCACATATTCTGACACGGTCCATGCGAACCAGAAGGTTTTCTCATCTGCCTTCTTCTCATTTCTTGAGCTGAGATCGCGCCAGAATACTTCTGTCGGATTAGACATCATCATCTCCATCCAGACATCCTAGTTCTCTATCGCGACGACCTGGTGCTCCTGAAACTCAGGCTTGGAATTCGGCCCGGGCCGCAGGGATATCGGACCGTTGAATTCCGCCGCACGAAAAAGTTACGAGTACAACATAAATGCTACATTTGTTTCCCCTCATGAAAGCTACGGCTGAGAGTTGATCAGTGCACGACTGAAGATCGAATGGCAGAACTGACCGGAGCGGAGACCGATTCTTCGAGAACCATTTTTGATGCTTGAACAATGATCTCCCATTCCACGGCATGCAATCTCTTCGCAAAATCATCGAGCGAAGTCTCAGCAGTCAACGCAATCTCCCGAACGATAAGAGGCTCGCCCCGGTCAACGTCTCTAACGACCCGGTGCACCATGACACCAGAATGGGAGATCTCGCCCTTTTGGAATGCTTCGTAGGCGCGCTCGATGGCATTGGCTCCATCGAATGCTCCTGGTAGCGCAGGATGCAGGTTGATAACGGGTACACCTTGCCCATCTTTCGCATCTCGTGCGATGTTCAAGAACCCGTCACCGAACACATGCATCCATCCAGCCAAGACCACCAAATCCGGCCACGACTCAAAAACGCGCCGAGCGACCTCTGCATCGTAGTCATCCCGTGATTTGCCCGGATTAGAATTCAAGAAAGTTTTCAGAGCAAGGTATCCGGTCGGGATATTCGCTTCGACTGCTCGCGTTAGTCCGTATGCTGCCTTTCGGTTCGAGAACACCAGGACGATCTCAGCATTAGGGAGAGCAGGCGTGTTCTGGGCGTCGATCAGAGCCTGGAGATTTGTCCCTAGACGACAGTCATCATCGCTGCTTGCCCAGGGAACGGCTTCGGAGTCTACCTGAGCCGGAGATGAGGACAGCGATTCGACGCGCCATTGTTGCCGAGCAGAGAAATCAGCGCGTCTAGGTAAACAAGAGCAGATAAGGCGCGTCACAGCCACAGATTACTTGTCCGAACATTGACAAAAATGAGTGTTCTTCCCGTGCTCAAGTCTTTTCCCCTCGTCGTTCTCATTCCAATATTTCTCACACAAATCAACCCTCATGAAACCGACCCGCAAAGCCGCGCGATGTTCGCTCAAGCAGCTGAGACATCACAACCACTGCCTTTACCTACGGATGGCTCTCATATTTGTGGCAAGATAAACGACTGCGCGCAGGGCAATCCCATTCTGGAATCGGCTCACAATGCCACCAAGACCCATCAAGTTCGTGTCTCATCGGTCGATCTTGCTCATCGCGCCTTGCTGGGCGTCGCTGCCGTCGTTCTGGGAACCGCCTTCACAATCTTTCTCTCCTTTCCGAATCTGCGACGAACAGCATCGGTCTTGGTCTCTCATGCATAGCTGTGCGGCTTCAAAGATTATCGCCTCGCTTGCCATCTTCACAAACCTTCATATTCGACGGCGTGGGATTTCTCGATGTATTGCAGGCTCTGGCGGAAGGTAGACCTCGACTGAAGCCGCGTCGCTCGATGCAGGATACGTCGGGCTCGGAATTGATGGCACTGATCGAAGCTAAACCTTCGACCTCGCAAGCACCAATGTTCAAGCTCAAACCTTCGCGGTTTGTTCCCCCAAACGTGTACTACGACGTGCTTCGAACCACATCCAATACATTGCCGGCCCTCTCTTCGTCAGTGATTTACTCGACGCCCCAATAGCACGACGACCATTTGCTTCCATTTCCAATCATGCAGTCCGACATGAATATCCTAGACCGGCAGCCCGGCAATATCAGGCTCGTCCGCATCAGCCCACAGCGGTTCCTGTACATGCGGTCTTCACCGCATACACACCCGATCCTTACCGTCTTTGCTCGCCAGGATAATCAATGGTGTACGCCACGCCCATTTTTCATCCTCCTGGAAGCCAATTTGATTTTGACCGCCGCCACGACAAACCAGCTTGTTTCGCGCGGTGAATTTATTGGTCATTAATTTTTGATTATGCGATCGATTTGTATCGTAGACATGATATCTTGAGCTGCAGGACAGCAACACTCTACTTTCTAGAGATTCCCACTCGTTACGTTCGAACCCAGCAGATTTTGAAAGTCCGATATCCGGACTCGTCTGCTCGCCCCAGTCCTGTACCTTGTCGACTTTGCGCAGCTTTGTCCACGATCGCAAGCCGAAGATCACCGTGCGCGGCGGCTGACTCGAAGACGTCGTCCACCGTGGTGTGGAGCCCTTCATGACGGCCCGTGGTGCGCACGGCAATCTTCATGTGGAACACTCCCCCAGGATCGGAGCCGGAAGGCTTCCGAAGCGTTCGAGCGACGCATTCGTGGATCAGTCGCGCGTGATCTGCGTGATAGACCACGTCTGCAGCTAACAGAACGTCAAACGGGACATCGAACGGGGGATCCGTGCTCGGCTTAGCCCAGTCAAGCTCGTGCGCAAACACCCGGCCGGAGTCCTGGTCCGAGGGGAAGAGTGTTCGGATGTTGAGCGCGAGATTCGTGAGGATCGCAGGGTGGTAGTCTGTGGCGATAACAGTCGCAGCGGGAAGCACTTTCGCAGCTGCGATAGCGAGCAGACCTGTTCCGGCGCCGAGTTCCAGGACACGCAATGGCCGGCCTTGGAACTCCGGCACCAGGTCGAAGGCAGCTGGATCGGCACAGATCTGCTCCGCCATGATGATGGCACTGGCCCAGCTCTGCAGTCCAACGGAGGTATGGTCCGACTTGATGACCGGCCCGTCATTAAGCTCGATACGGAAGATTTCGCCGGACTGCAGGGGAAAGGCGAAGCTCCGCGTGACATCGTACTCCGGGTCGTCCTCGCTGTGCGCAAAGCGAGCAAGGAGCGCTGTGGCTTCCTCCAGAATCAAGTCCCGCGCCTCCTCCGGATCGATGGTATGATCGTCGATGGGAATAGAGTCCACTCGTCCAATAAGCCCCGTGAGCCACTTCTTGGCGAAAGCCCGTTCGAAGGGGTCGGCGCGAAGCTCGTCAACTGAATCGGAAGAGTCTGATTGAGGCTCCTCGGCGTCGTCTCCTTCTTCATCGTCAGATCCTACGGCGGAGGCATATCCGGAATCGGCTGGCTTCCCCACTCCGTAGATTTTTTTTCGCCTAGGGACAGTGAGCGCCGATGGCAGAGGAGGCCAGTAGAGTTGACTGATATTCCGGATATTCCAGGTAATCTGTGCGGCGGAGTATTCACTCAGGCGCCGGAGCGGAGGCAAAGACGTCGGGGGAAGGATGGGTGCCATGGTCGTAAAAAGACGCCTAGCGGAAGGATCGTTTCTATTGATTTGTCTATGAGGTCTATGAGGTACAGAAAGTGATCAAGAGCAGCTGGGACGGGAGGGTCCCAGCTGCTAGCACCCAAGCGCGGCCATTGTGGTAGGGGTTTGGGAAGGGTGACAACAACGTGACAGCTCAATGGTGACAACTACTTGGGTGACAACGCCAGGAAGTGTCCCGTAAGTGCTCACTCGTCAGCGCACCGCCAATCAACCCATCTGCCCATCATAAAAACTTTTTGGTTTCCTGATATGGAAGTATCTAATCGGTGTAAAGCGCTAAGCAACCGCGTTACCGAGCTTTGGTCTTGTCCTCCTTCTCCCCCCACTCTCCTCGTTCATTCACGCTGCGAGAAGTAGCAATGTCGACAGACCACGGCGCAGCTCCCGTCATCCCGTCATCCCTCCTCCCGTACCAATCATACACCTTGGATCCGGTATGGCAGACGCGCTTCACATACATGTGGTGTGCTGCCCTCGGCGCTTTCGTCCTGCTCAATCTCCCGCGCACTTTCACGCCCGCCAGTATAAGAGAGAATCTCCTCGTGTCTTGGCGTGGCGTGGGGGTGGACTACACTGAGGTCGACTATAATCAGGACGCTGCACCACCTAGGAAACCCGTTGCTGGAGTGCAGACAAGACGGCGGACATGGGGTTTCATAGGAAGGATCATGTCGCTGAGACTTTGGTGTCTCCCTGGCCTACCACTCAATATGGGGCAGAGTGGGTCTCCCTCCTCTCCGCTTTCGATTCGGTCTAATACGGCCTTACCTTGCAGTCACCTCCGTGGCCATCTATGCTGTGTTCGTCCTCGTATCGACGACGTACGCTGTTCCGTTGACAGAGAATCCCAATCGGGCCGGTGCGTCGTATAATTGGCCCCGGTGGTCAAACTGACCCTGTGCTTCAGGTTTCCTTGCCCTAGCTCAGCTCCCCCCTGTCTTCCTGTTCGCATCCAAGAACTCTCCGCTGACAGCGCTCCTCCTCCCTCCGGGGACTGACTACACAAGACTTAACTATATTCACCGTTGGGCTGGCCGTCTGCTCGTTCTCTGCGGTCTCGTCCACGGCACCATGTGGATTAACAACCACCTCATATTCGGGCTTCCTATCTTGACGCAGCAGAAGGAAGGGAGTGGTGTCGCGGCGTTGGCAGTATTGCTTGTGCTCGTGCTGAGTAGTCTGGGAATCGTCAGGCGATGGGCATATGCAACATTCCTCGTCATTCAGTGAGTTCGTGTTTCCGAACACCGGAGTGGTACTCATTGGATCTAGCTACCTGACATTCCCGGCCTTCTTCGTGACAATCTGCTATCACACTGTGTACGCTATCCCATGGATATTTCCCGCCGTCGCACTCTACACCTTCGATCTGACCTTGAGGTCCGTTGCTTTATCTACTTTAAGCTACAAGGACTCAACGAGCTGATTCCAATCCAGATTCTTCCGCTGGCGTGTCGTTGCTTCGCGCATTGAGGCCAAAAACGGGATGAGTTTGATTCATATCCCCCATGCGAAGACCGGCTGGCGTGCGGGGCAGCACGTTCAGCTGCGTGCAGTGTTCAATGGCCGAGCCTGGGAATCTCATCCGCTCAGTATCTGTTGTGCCTCGCCTGAAATCAGCTGTCTGCGAGGTGTGCTGCCTTTTGCCGTTTCATCTGGGACATCGCTTAATTACAATCTTTGCAGCGGAAGACGGAACAGCCCTGGGCATGATGCTGGGTGCTCGGGCTTGCGGAGACTGGTCACGAGCCCTGCTCGAATACGCGCAACTCCCAGAGCTTAGCCAAGGCGAAATCGATGCTTTCTTCCAAGATGACGAAGAAACATGTGATGACTGCGAAAAGACCGGCATCGAGAGCCAGGCCACGAAGGACCACGATTCGAACGAGCTACCAGGGCGCCTGACAATGGCTGTGCTCGAGGGACCATACGGCGGTCCAACACTGCGAGCCACAGACTTTGAAAAGGTGCTGCTGATGGCTGGAGGCAGCGGGGCGACGTTTACGCTGGGTGTACTGGACGAGCTGATCGGCCGCGCGACTCGCGGAGAGCGCGTGAAAACGAGGGAGGTCGTCTGGGTCTGGTGCGTTCGCTCGTTCGGAGCGATCAACTGGTTTGCACAGCACCTGCAGCAAATCGCCGCTCGTGCCGCCTCGCCGTCGTCTCCCATCCGCCTGAAAATCCGCATCTTCGTCACGTGCCTGTGCGATCCCGACGCGGTGCCCGACATCCACGGCTGTCTCGTGCGGGAGGCCCTGCGGCCGAGTGTGGGTCGGTGGCTGGACGGGCTCGTGTCCGGCACATTAGCTGCCGTTGACGCCGAGTACGCCTCGAAAGAGGTCGGCGAGAGCGACTACCTTAGCAGCGATGCCGATCTCGAGAAGGGCGCTGCTGCTGTGTCCGACACTGTGCAAGGCGGGGTCGCCGTCTTCGCTGCGGGACCCGGTAGTCTGTTAGCCGAGGCTGGGAACGCAGTTGTCGCTGCAAATCTGAGCGGCAGGGCCCGGGCATGCGGTGGGGTTGAGTTTTGTGGCGAAGCATTCAAATGCCGATGATTTTTACGGACTTTACGATGTGTTTATCTATTATGCAAATGACTGTAAGTACTGTACGACATTCATGGATGAATCTAAATGCAGGAAAGACCCCCTGGGGGGAGTTCAAACGACCCAGGAAACAGACCAGCCACCAGCCACTCATTGGTTCCCAGACCCCTTCCAAAGGCGATGTCAAAAACCGGCTTCGTTGTTTGATACTCTAGAGATCGATCGAAGGGCGGTCGGGTGTATCCAGTCCCTATCGGAGAGAAGAACAGCCCTGCACAAGATCATATCGAGCGGCGTCCGAGAACACCGAACGTGAGGATGGGCGCTGCGGAGACGGACAACTCCGATACATCGGCCAAGAAAACGCACGACAACCGCACCACGCACGTGTGAAAAGGATGCAGATACCGTCGTTTGCTCACACAAACCCTGATTAGTCGCACAGGGGACGAGCACGCAGCTTCTTCGACTGAGAATCGCCGCTAGTGAGCAGGGACTTCGTGCACTAATCTCGTTAGTCAGCAATATATATCAGTAAGCCGCGCGTAGTAATAATACATGAAATTCCGTCCAGTTTTCATAACGTCGTAGGTATTATGTAGATCGACCAGACTCAAAGATGACCGGCACCAGCAAGAGCACCTCCAGCATAACGGCCAAAGATGGCCTCGCCAACACCGAGGCCAACGACGATAGCAAGCAGATACGAAACCGAGTAGCTCCTGCGAGCATAATGCATGAGCACTAAGACTAGTGTGAAATTGAGCATCACTCACATGACGGTCAACATGAACAAAAACCCAATCAGAGCCTGAACGGCCTGCATGAGGCCTCTGGTCAAATCATGAGCCGGTACGAATGGAGGTGCCCTCGCAACCATAGCCGCGAGCCCAGTCTTCTTGGGCTTGATTTGCGATTGTCCTCGCTTCTCTGCGGCGGCCTTCTCCTGCTCAATCATCATCCGGATACCCTCCCGTCGCCATAGCCCTTCGTACATCCCCCTCACGGCCGAGATGAAGCGCTCCACGATAGCGAGCAGGAAGAGGCCGAAACAGGCTCCGAAAAGAGCGCCGGAAGATTGCGGTGCCCAGCCGGGGAACCAGATGTTGTCAGAGATAGGTGTGAAGTGGAGAGTGCCCATCCCGGTTCCGTTGGCGAGTGTTATCCCATTGTCCATCGACATGTCCATGCCGTTCACAGATGATCCATGAGCTGCGGCGAACAGAGCGAAGAGTGCACAAGTGAAGAGGAGGGACGTATACGGCATTGCTGGCTATAGAGGATGGTCGTCGTTGTCGTGCAAGCTGCAGCAAGGAAGGATGAGACGAGATCAAACAAAGTGACAGCGTGATAATCACTTGCAAACAAGTCCCAAATTGGAAACTTGATCGATGTTGCCAACTACTTGGCGCCTGTCGCTGAGGAAGAAACCCTGGAATACAGGGAAGATAACTGGGGCTCTTCCTTGGGGCTCTTCCTAGAGCCGAAACTGCGGAGAACCTTAAAAATGGATTGCAGTGACTTGGTTGACCAGCCGTATCACAGGGACCAGAACAGTGACACGTTGCCGTTCCCGAGTCATTCCCCGAGTCAAAGAAGTTGATGCACAGGCACTTGACGACGAAGGCGGTGAGCAACGGGTTACCGTGCAGAGGGAGGAGCCGGACAGCACAAAGAGGAGGCCGGAGGGCAACTGATATGCGCGTGGGTGACAAGGAGCAATCGAGGTTGGCGATACGTGACCAGCAAAGCGATGACGAATGGGGAAAGGGTCAGATGAGGGACCTGTGTACTAGAGAAGATGCAAGCAGGGGATATCGTCAAGAGCAGTGAGAGAATGCGGAAGTACAGACAAGGAAGTTTGAACTTCTTGCGGGAGGATGATGTTTGACCAACCAGTACGTGCGGGATCCAACTTCGTGAGGACTGCGCTCTCGCATTCACCCGACGCACTGATGAAGCCATGTGTGAGCCCTGGTCAGGGAAAAAAGATGTGAAAGAGCCGGTTGAGATAGCCAGGGGGATGCGAGGGAGAAGGGAGTGAGGAGTAGGGAATGGGGGAAGAGTCAAACCGGGTCGAGTGTGACTGAGACAATTCTGCCATCGCTTACATCAGCGAGACGTTTATCCTATTGGATGGCGATTGGATCACGGCACGGTTGATGCGCCATTACTGCCTGGTTGACGGCGTCTTGATGCTCATTCTTTCACTTAGTAAGTATTACAATGTTCTCCGAATCGCGTCCCCTCGACGCTAATGACGGCAGTGGCATTTATTGAACAGAACCCCACCCACTCCAAAGGAGACATTTCACGGCCCTACTCAGTATCGCAAGTCCCGTGTCAAGCACGTTGTTATGAATGAATATCATGCCCTTCTGGGCTCCTCGGACCACTTGCCTACTCCCTCATCTACCGGTTTGAAATTGAGCTTCCACGGTCACTGTAGGCCGTGCTCTAGGCTAGGTGTGCACCTCCATTGTCCGCCATGCGTGCCTGGTCCTGATGTTTGCTTCCCGTTCAGCCCTGACAAGAGACGCCGCGTACAGAAAGCATACTACATTATATCCGAGCCTTGAGACTGGGAAAAACTTCCGACGTTTCGGCTACTCTTCTTCCTCCTTTCCACCACCACGCCCCATGAGCTCAGTTTTGCAGCACATCTGTTCCAAGTTGGTGGCCTGCGACGGCCCGAATGATCAGCCGCCGACGCCAAAGCGTGTCCGCATCCGGGGAATCGTTTGGCGGGATCGAGGACAGATGGTCGTAGAGCTGCAGGGTCTGCGTGCGTGTCTTGCACACGCAGGGAGCGGGGGTCTGAGTGCGTTCGTTTTCACCTCCCGCACGATGAAAGTGTCGTGACCACGATTCAAATCCACAGGAGCCGCGACCCTCGCATATGCGATACGTGTCGCGTTCAACATGTTTCTGGCTCTCAACAAGCTCCGTCGATTGCGCAAGTCCGTCCCATGCTTGCTTCCCTGTGCTTGCCCCATTCGAGCTTTTTGCAGATCTCACCAACGAGTCCTTCTGATCCGGCATGTTATCTTCGGCGAAGACTCGTTTCGCTTCGCGGCGCTCTTCGGTGCGTGTTCAACCTCTCGTCATCGAGTGCTCTGACTTTTGACAGGCACCTTCGTTGGCTTGTACAAGTTGATCATAAACGCTTTGCCCATCGTCTTTCCCTCGCGATCGCCTTCGACGAGTCCCGAGAGTGTATATACCAGAAAACATACCCGCCGATGGCATTCTGCATTGGCCGGAGCTGTGTCCGGTGGACTAGCCATTCTCTGCGAAAGTAAGAGCCGGAGGACGGTGATCGCTCAACAACTGTTTGCTCGGTATGTGCTATTTCCCGGTGGTTAGCAAAGCCACCAACAAGAGAGCAGCGGTTTGCAGGGAAGTTATAACACCATGTCAGATCGATATGGATTCAGGGTTCCGCATGGCGCTGCGATTGTTTTCGCCCTGTCGTAAGGGCAAGTACACACCTGAATTCATCTACTGAACACGACTTGAAGATGCGGGCAGATCATCTTCGGGTTCTTCCTGCACCCGGAAACTCTTCCTCGATCATACATACAATGGTTCGGTCTGGTCAAAGACATGGAAGTTCAATTGACCGCTTTACCCCAGGATCCAGAGCGCGAGCAGAACTTCAAGTGACGCATTTACGATCAACCGAACAGCTGTTCACGAGCACGCGATTGACGTGGCTGCTCTGGACAAGCTTATCGCCTATCCCGCCATGACACCCACGAATCACGCTTCGCTGCTCGATCTCAAGGAACGAGCGTTAGCTGGCGCAGCGAACATACCACGTTATATGCCTTGTTATGGAATTCATCCGATGTCGGACAGCTGCCTGCGCGTGGCTGCTGTGCGGTTTTTCGAGGTCGCGTATTGGATGCTGCCGCTCTACTCTGCGTTGCATTTCGTCCCGACCCTCGTCTTTCGCTGGGGATCGTTCCGTGCCGATCCCCTCAAGATACTCACGCGCACGAGCATTGGAAGCTTGAGGAGCTCGGCTTTCCTCGGTGCTTTCGTGATCATATGTCAAGGTCAGTTTGTTTCCTCAATGGACTAAAACAGCTTCAAATGTTCTTCACAGGTGTCATATGTGCCAAACACAATCTATTCGAGCTGTTGAACGCACAGAAGGAGCTACCGATACCCAAGAAGATTGTTGACTTGTTGATCTCGCCAGGGAGCTGGTGGTTTGCAGGCCTTTGCACAGGACTCTCGCTCCTGATCGAGGACGAGCGTCGTAGAGCCGAACTCGCACTGTACGTCTTGCCCAAGGGCCTGGAGGGTGCTTGGGTCTTCGCGCGGGGACGGGGACTTGTCGGACACACCGGGAAATGGGGCGACAGTCTCCTGGCGAGCATGGGGATGGGCATGGTCATGGTGTGTTTGATTTCTCGTTGAGATCCGGCCGGACCCACAACAGCATTCGCAGACGATTTATCAGAATCATCCCGAGCATCTTTCTGGGTTGATCCGCAAGATCTTGTACCAGTTCGTGGGCCCAAATTGAAGCGAAGAGGCGGGGTGGTGCGAAGATAGAGAGACCAGGGCGGGTCGCACATCGTTCCGACATCCGAATTGGACAACAGCCCGTCCCTGTGCCTGAACTCAGCCGGGGAGCGATTGTGAATGCCGCTGCGATACACAGAAGATAGCATTTGAACCGAGCTTGTGGTCAGTGCAACCGCTCGGGTTCGACCTAATTGAGAGTCTTGTCGTTATTTACAAGTCCAACTTGCACAAGAAACATTGAGGTTTTGTCAGACTTCATTTGGGGATTGCGTCGTGTTCAAAGTTCCCAGTCAGACGAACCTTTGTCTGGTTCGGATTCTGGTGCAGAGTTGGATCTATTTTTACTGAATGATGGAGATTAGTGATGGTGCACGGATGCTCTGAAACAGCCTGAATTCCTTGGACCTTGTACCTCGTACTCCCTGTTCAGGGCGGCCGGGCCTCTTTATCGATCGAATGCAAGTCGGTGAACGTTTGCGCGAGCATTGGTCTGAGTAATAAGCAGCTCTTGCTCAAGCACGTTCCCGATCATTTTGATGTGTTGCCCGATCAAATGCAAGTAAAAAACATAGCTCCATGGACTCCGGGGACCCATACACGCTCCGCGCGGAGCTGGAAGAGGTCCGACTTGAAAATATTCTCCAATCAGTCCTGTTTTGCATGCGATGCCTCCAAATTCCCCCACGGACACCGTTCCTGGACTGTTTTGGCCGGGTCCCGGCAATGAATTGACGTTGCGCCCACTTGTCTCCGCACGACATTTGTAGACCATGGGTGGGAGTACGAACGCACGTTTGTGCAGAATTCCCAAATACCGACCTTGCCGATATGGCATCTCCGCGTGGTGGACTCCTGACACCGCCCATCAGGGATCTCGAGCCGCCACTCGCGAACCCTTGAAATAACCACTGATGTCGGGGCCTCGACTTATCTCAGCTGCCACCAGCCACTCTCTCAGATCCTCCAGTAGAGAAGGCCCGCCTGTTGATCTCCACGGCCATGTCGACCGAGTCCACTTTCAAGCAACGTATGAAGAGCGTGTCGCTCATCCTCGCGTAAGTTCTCGCTCGATTCCGTTCTTGTGACGTTTCTGAGCATCTTCCTCAGGTGTGGAACTGCTCTCTTTTCTGATGGTGACCTTCTTTATGAGAGTGCTGAATGTCGTCTCTGACGTACCTGGCGGATAGGCTACGGAAATGGTGTCATTGGAAGTGGTGAGTCCGACGCGTTCGACGCGTTGTGTCGATGCTGACCTCACCGGTACAGTGAACACCCGTCAGTCGACTCCGTCTCTCCTCTTCCAATGGACGAGCTCACTCGCACACAGTCATCAAACGTTCATACCCTGGACAAGTCCCCGCCAACTACTCCACGACGCTGAGTAGTGTAGTCTTCGTGGGCAATGTCCTCGGTATGCTCGTCTTCGGTTACTTCTCCGACAAAATTGGACGCAAGACCGGTATGATGGTCGCTGCGGGATTGGTCGCATTCTTCTCGGCGCTCTCCGCTGCCTCCTCCGGTGCTCACGGCAGCGTCCGTGGTCTCATCTCCATGCTCATCGTCTGCCGGTGCGTTGTCTGAGAGTTTATGCGCTACGCCTCTGATTTCCTCCATGTCAGGTTCTTCCTCGGTATAGGCATCGGTGCCGAATACCCCACCGGTTCCGTCTCTGCCTCTGAGCAAACGGAGGGCAAGCACATTGCCAAAAACGCGCAGCACCGGTGGTTTGCTCTCGCGACCAGTGCGTGTGACTTTCCTTTTGGGTGTTTCTTAGACTGACTGGCGCAGACTGTGCGATCGATACCGCATTCTGTGTGGCCGCATTCGTTCCCCTTGTCATGTTCTGGATGTGAGCACCTGCCTGTCAGTCGATTGACAGGTCCAACTGATCATCTGGCGGACTAGCTTTGGCAACAAACACCTGCGCGCTGCCTGGCGTCTGTCGCTTGGTCTGGGATTCTTCCCTGCTGCCGCTGTGTTTGTTTGGCGGTGGAGCATGGAGGAGCCGGACCTGTACAAGAAGAACTCGATGAAGCGTGTGACCGTCCCGTACAAGTTGGTCCTCAAAAGATATGGCATGCAGTTGGCCGCTATCAGTTTGACATGGTATGGGTATCGGCTGTTATCTTCTATCTCTTCTGTTTGACCGTTGCAAAGGTTCATCTATGACTTCATTACGTGAGTTTGATAACAAGATCACGCGACTTTGTCTGACGTCTGTTCCAGCTACCCCGTGCGTCGATGAACCGCTCGCATGCGTTTTTGCAAGCTTATCTCATCTTTCGCCAGTTCGGCATCTACTCGAGCCCCATCGTCGACACGATCACTGGCGGCGACTCCAGCTTGACCACCGTTTTCGGATGGAATGTCGTTATCAAGTATGTTGCTCAGTGTGATCCAATCGCGGAAGGGCTGTGAACCACTTGGATAGCTTGTTCTACATGCCTGGGACGATCATCGGCGCCTTTGTTGTCGACTATCTTGGCCCGAAGTGGACCATGATCACGGGTCTACTATTCCAGGCTCTCATTGGCTTCATCATGAGCGGTGCCTACAACCAGTACGTGGCGAGATGGCCCTACAGCGCGATATTGATCGACTATACAGGCTTACCACTCACATCGCCGGCTTTGCTGTTTGTTCTATTCTCGTATCGATCAACACTTTACCTCATGACTTCGTAGGTTGTGTATGGTATCTTCCTGTCCTTCGGAGAGTTCGGTATGTGCAAACCCCATCATAGATGTCTCCTGCTCAAAAGTGCATGTAGGGCCGGGTAATAACCTCGGTCTTCTTGCCTCCAAGAGCAGCCCGACCGCTATCCGTGGCCAATTCTATGGTGTCGCCGCCGCTATCGGCAAAGTCGGCGCCTTTGTTGGAACATGGGGTCCGTAATTCTCATTGATGACTGGATATATCGACGGCTGATGACCATTTGAAAGCTTTCCCTGCCATGACTACCGGTCGGTCTCCACTGCCATACAATATAATTGAGGCCTCTTCTGATTTGGCCTAGCCTTCTCCAAGCGTGGTGTCTACGCGGGTGCCACTGGACCTTTCTGGGTTGGTAGCGGACTGGCCATCTTCAGCGCCTTGATCACCTACTTCTTCATCAAACCTCTCGACCATGATGGCATGGCTGCAGAGGAAGTCGCTGTGCGTCTTTTTTCTGTTCCCCATCTCTTACACTACTGACTGAACTAGTTCCGCGAATATCTTGAAGCTAATGGCTTCGACACCAGCCTCATGGGCAATGGCGAAGAGCCTCTTGAGACTGATTCGGTCCCGGCTATTGACGAGAAGGAGGAGAAGGTTTCCGTGTAAGCTGTTTGCATCTAACGAGTTTGATGTCGCGTTTTATGTCCTTCCAATGTTGTTAATTATCCTACGAGTAACGATTGCATGTGCCTTGCTATTCGAGCTCAGGGATGCTCTTGAGTCGTCCATGTATATAATCGTACAGCGGATGTGGACCGGAGAGTTTGCACGTGACATTTAACATCCAATTCATGCGACGACATCATGCAGTCATAATTATCTCTCTCTTCACGACATCGTATGGCTTTTTCTACTTCCTCTCCCGGACGCGTCATGAAACAGTTGTAAAATATTCCTCAGCGGCCCCCAAGGGATGGCATATCTTCGAGCCACCGGCAAGCCTTATTGCGCGTCCTTTTGTGGCCGAACGAACGCTCTCCCAGACCCTGCCTTGCATTGACTCGTGGGTGGCGCACGGCGTGGTATGCGATCATACCTCCCAGGAGGGCGCCGGCGTGGATATCCTATGGACGTGGGTCAACAGCTCCGAGCCGCTCCTGGCAGCCACCCGGCAGCGCAGCGTGGAGACGGGTCTCGCAAAGCACCGCGACGGTCCCGTATACGGATCGAAGAAGGGCGACTTTCTGGGCGCGAGGGAGTCGCATTTCCGGTCGCACGGAGAGCTGCGCCATTCGATGCGGTCGGTGCTCACCTCGCTGGACCGCGGGTCGGTGCGAAACGTATGTGTCTGTCTACCCACCCCATCTGCGTGGCTTCGCAGGGCTCACGATTGGTAAAGCTGCATCTGTTGACCGCGGATATACCGTCGGATATCGCGGGGCTGCGGCTCGGCTCTACGCCAGACTGGCTCGATCTCAGCGCGGGAGTGCGCGTGGTCCACCACTCGGACGTGTTTCGTGTGCCCGAACCATCGCTTGGGATTTGGGGCAAAGAGCGGATGGCGCGCGCATGGCGCGACGAGCATGTCCCGTCGTTCAACAGTCTGGCTATCGAAAGTCAATTCGGGAATATGCCGAACTTGGGGAAAACGCTCTTCTGTGCGTCCTTCGCTCGCAGTCTGCGCGGCTTCTGACATTGACCTAGATCTCAACGACGACTGCTTCTTGCTGAAACCTATCAGTCTGGCAGACTTCGAGACTGCGCTTTACGGGCCTGTCTTTCGCATCCACTTCGGACTGAAAGTGGAAAGCCACGATCCGAGTAAACGATGGAAAGGGGGCGATAAAGAGGGGGAGTGGCCTGCGCTGGAATACAGTGAGTGGTTCCAATGTCTCGATACATCAGCTGACGAGGCAGCAAGCTAATTGGCTTTTGGGTCCGTTGCGAGTCAATTCTCCGCCGGATGAGGTTGAACACTGAACAGACCAGCGCTTTGGCGCCCGGCCTCGCCGCTACTTGCACCATATCGGCAAGACCGTATCGGTACCCGTCATGCGCGAGGTTGGTGCGATCTGGGCGGATGAACTTGCCGAGGTGTGTGTGTTGGACATCACTATCTCGTTGTCTCACAGTGGAACAGACCGCCCAGTCTCGGTTTCGAGGTCATGGGCTGCAAGTAAACATGCTCTATCTGACGACGTGGTATACCATTGAAAAGCATCGAGAAAGTCTGTGCGTGAGGAGCTCTCTTGTTCGACTGCAACTGCTCACTGTTTCTGCAGGCTTTTCTCGCTCATAATCCTTCGTGCCGATGCCAATCGTGACGGGGTGTTTTCTCGCTTGGAATGGTCGAACTTCATTGCTACTCTGCAACCGAATGGACTCGTTCCTGTCCGTTCAAGACGCAACATCTCTCGGACTCCCCGAGAGACGAGTTACGATTGGCTCTCCTCAGATGGTTATCCCCTGCTCCCTTCAGGCACTTGCACCATCGACATCGCACAATGTTTCCCTTCGAGTCTGAGTCCGTTGAAGATCTTCCAGCGCATCGCATTCGAGATTCCCATGTGTGGGGACTGCGTAATTGCACAAATGGTGGATGTCAGGAAATTGAACGCCTTTCTGCCACCGAACTCACTTGGAGATGGCCTATCGACTTTTTCGCCCATTATGGCCAAAAGCTGGCAGCATCTACGGCCGCCGAAAGATGTCGGCAGAGCGTTCGCTGTCGAGAATATGTATGTATTGAACATTTCAGATGTGTGACATCGCTGACTGCGGCTAGCCATCGTTACTCATACGCTCTAGGAACATCGCCGTTCGAATTCATCTCGATCAGCAACCACAAAGATGCAAACAAGCTTCCTCTACAGAACAGTTCCACTGCCTTTCTGGCCGTCAACGATGATGTTGTGGCTCCGTTTTATCTGGAACAGGTTGATCAACGGATGCAGGCTTGGTTCGCCGCGAGATGGGGTGCTGTTCGCGGTTGGTGGGAAAAGGCTGGGGTTTGATGGTTGCTTGGAATCTGTGCATTTGACGCTTTGGGTTCGCCAGTATATCAGACCTACTTGGGGCTATGGAATACCACAAAGAGCGCCAGGTCGTGCCAGCGCGCTTTATGAAACTGGTACCGTCATATCGCGGTTGCCGCCAGACACGATTCGTGAGATTGATCAAATTGGCAAACTTGAAGCGCCCGCTGGGCGCTGAATTTGAATGGGTAGGGCGGTCTACGATCACGTCGAGCCATCGTTCCTTTCTAGTATCTGATTGACTCTGAGTTGTGCAATGTCCAGTTTTTGCGGTTGAGCCCAGATTTTCAGCTACTCGAGCACCGGGATGGACGGGTTTCGTAGTTGCCTTGCTTGTCAAGGCACTCTCCACACTCATAATTCCTTTTTGATGGCCATGTTGATCCGATGCCACTGTTCCGCGTTCTTCCGACGCGCTCGTGCGCTGCAATGTTGCCTTGCTTGTCAAGGCTTCTCCAGACCCTAAATTCGTGCATCAATCAGATCCCATCAATGATGACATCAATCAGAGGACTCTGTTCCAGCATCTGATCCGATCAATTTTACCTTCGTCTTGAGTATGTCATGGTCTCATTCACTCTTCACTCTTATCTTTGTACTTACGCTCCCTGCTGTTGCTGGCATTATAGCGCGGCAAAGCAGTGTAATTTATAGTTCCATGCATGATGATGACTCTCTTTTGCAGTGTGCACCCACCTGTGGGCTGTTTTTGTTTCTGCTCGTGTCACTCTCTAACAGCGCTGCTTCACATGCCACCATTGCGCACACAAGCGCGTACACTGCATGATGTTGTCTTGCCTCATCTAGTTTCTGCCGGCAATGCCTGATATGGACAAGAGCCTGAAGAAGAAGACGAGAGCATCTGGCGCTTAGTTACAACTGCACTGGTATTTTACTTGTTTTATTGTATATAAATTTGATCATATGGATTTAATTAGCAAGCAAGGCATAATGTTGGCAGAGCCAACGCTTTCTAGTTTTCCTTTTGCAGTGGTTTGTAGGCAGTGCGGCAGCTTGGTCTGATGGCAGCACTGGATCCGGGTAGCTCCGAGCCTCCGACGCGGCGCACTCCTGAAATGATGATTTATAATAGAGCGACCGGCATACTCTTCTTTCTGAGATCTTGATGTATATAAATAACACTTTCTTTCTTGTCCTTGTTTCTCCCGTCGGCTCTTCTGCTCTCTCCCCTCAGTCGTTTCCGAAAGCTGTCACCGGCTGATCAGGGCCTCCCCTTTCGCTTACAACAATCCGGTTATTTTAAAACCCACACCACCTGTCTTTCTCCCTCATGCCGTCCACGACCTCCCTCGCTCTGATTTCCCTGCTCGCGACGAGCGCCGCCGCTCAGACGAAGTACACGCTCATGAAAGAGTATGCCGGGTCGACATTTTTCAATGACTGGGACTTTTACGGCCACTGTGAGCCTTGCACTCCGTTCAACGCGGGCTATTGTTCACTTCCCGCAAGTCGACAACCTGACGAACGGCGACACGATCTTCGTCGACGCTGCGACTGCGACATCCTCTAAGCTGGCGTACGTCGATCCCTCGTCCAACCACGCGATTATCAAGGTGGACAACACCACCAACGTTCTGTTCAACGACAAGCGCAACACTGTTCGTATCCAATCGAAGGACTCGTTTAGTGTCGGGAGTGTTTGGATCGCTGATATGTATCATGTCCCCTTCGGTGTACGTTCGCTCGGTGTCCCCCCGATGAAGACTGACGCTGGCTAGTGCTCCGTCTGGCCTGCGTTCTGGTCTCAAGCGCCCGACTGGCCTGTTGGAGGGTACAGATGTCACCCGGCTGATTTGACTGCATGCTAATTGTCTCTAGTGAAATCGACACATTCGAGCACTGGAATATGGAGCTGCACAACCAAATGACGCTGCACACTAACCCCGGCTGCACGCAAGTCAACGCGATCCAGTCTTCGACCATCGTCAACTCGACTGACTGCTCGTACCTGGCGAACTCGAACTCTGGGTGTGGTGTCATGGACCCCAACGATGCTAGTTACGGAGCGGCCTTCGCTGCTGCGCAGGGCGGTGTATTTGTCACCGAGTTTGCGGAATCAGGAATCTCGTGAGTGGTGGAGCTGTGTGTGCGTCCGTATCCGTTGCTCGGCTAACCTAGCACCGCTAGTGTCTGGTTCTTCCAGCGGAGTGCGATTCCAACGTCCATCTCCAGCAACGCGTCGTCCTTCTCGACCGCTGATCTCGGGAAACCCGTGGCCAACTGGCCAACCGGCGGATGCTCCATCGACACGTTCTTCAAGCCCCAGCATCTGATCTTTGACATCACGCTGTGCGGTGGTGCGTCCACATCCTTGTCCCGGGTCCCTGTGTTCACCATGCCAACCAGATGCGGCTGGAGCCCCGGCAGTGTTCAACGCCACCTGCTCCGGGGTGTGCTACACTGACTACGTGGTCGGAAACGGGTCGGTTTACAACAACGCGTACTTTGATGTCGCATCTGTGCGTGTCTACAGCGCCCCCACGAACAACTCCAACGGCACGACCGTTATCACTGGGTCGGGAAGCGGGAACAGTGCTGCTGTCTCCGCCAGTGTTGCATCGTGGGTTTGGAGCGCTGTTGCGATTGCTGGAACGCTCGCTTTGGCCATTGTGGCATAGACTCTCAGTGACCCAGACTATCTCATACCCATATTTGCGATCTACGAAGGACTTCCTCCCCAAAATGTTGATTGGACTAATAGACACTACACCGGACCAGGTTTTCCTTCCTGTCCTTCATCCGGCAGCGGATCCATTGTGACGGTCACGACTCGGTCCATGAACAATTCTATCGGCTGATCAGGCAACGGTCTTGGCTGTACATAGCTTGTAGTCGAGAACGCAGTGCTCCTGGTCGCCTCTGCGAAGGATGCCGTAGAGGACCATACTGTCGGACGCTCTAAGCCTCGAAGTGCTGAGCAGCAAATGAACACACCGGTGGCAAAGACAGTCGAGATGATTTCAACGTAACAGTTGACCAGGTTGAGACAGGAGCCGAGGACCACGTTGCCGCTGTATATGGCGGCAATTTCGATCACGCTGATAATTACTGTAGTGCGTGTGTGAACACTCGGTTGAAAAGTGCCGGACGGGGAGGTGACGGACTCGGGAATACGAAATTTGTGCTGGCAATCCAAAACAGGTTTTCCAAATGTCCGGAGTAGGTTTCTGCGGTCTCGCTAGTGAGCGAGAAAAAAGGAGCACCAGTGAAAACGACTGACGCTTATGGGCAAGCCTGCCGATCGCTTGGCCGTTGAATACGTGCCCGGTCCGGGCGAGTCGCCAGAGGAATAGCCCTGAGATGTATCTGGACACTTGAAGTTTGAAAAAATGAGGCCGTTCGATCGAAGGGCAGCTCACGCATTATCAAAAAGTTCCAGGATAGCCCCCAATTTGAAATATAACGGGTTGAGCTGTTTTATGACCTCCAGCTCATTTACTGTCGTAGGATGGAATAGACCCTTTGCCCAGCCGACGATGAAGAGGATGTTGACGACGCTTCGCGCGATCTTGATAAGTACTGGGAACGCCAGCACAAACGGAAGCTTCGCGCGGGGGAACACTGCCCAGATTCGGACAAGGAGGACGGATTCGGCGATCCAGGGGAGCCACGCGTCCAGAATCACGTATACGAGGTCTAACTGTAAGCTGATGGCTCGGGGGCGACGACACAAGCACACCTTCGCCTTTGGTGTTTGTGCGGAATGGTGAAAGAACGCTTTCCATCTGAGCGGTAACGTGAGCGGCATCCGCTAGACATCGGGTTACCGACCGCAAGATGGGTGATCAGCGCACCGAGAGTCAAGCCAAAGCAGATCGCCGCTGTGTTGAGAATGAAGATGGGTCCCCGGCGGACCTGGGGAGTGGAAAGCGTGAAGAGCATGATGAGAAGAGGCACGAGCATGGCTGAGAAAATGGCAGGTATCAGAATAAAGGCGAAAGCGGGCCGGATGCCCTGCGCGTAAGCCTCGATTATGGGTTCGATGGCTGACGGCGGGAGGGAACCTGAATCCATGGCAGACGAAGAAGAGAGGTATTCTGGGTTGATGTCGAGCTTCGGCCGGACTTTGAGCTTTATGTACTCACGGGCGATTCAGGTTGCCGCTCAGAACCTTCGTAAATGAGTGGAGTACCATGAGAAACATCAGTCGGGCAAGACGAGAGAATTGCCATCCACACAAGATGACGGCCCGTCATCAACCACAAAGATGGAGAGACTTCCAGGGTAAACGAGACCTCAGCTCGATCTGTCGTTCCCAGATTCCAGATGGAATGAAGCACTGTGGGATAAACTGATGTCAGGTGAGCAATGGTTGAAATGGTGAAGGTCCACAAGCCACATGAATTTGCGAACAAAGATCGGCAGGGCATCTTGTTGTGCGCAGCCGCAAGTTCATTGTGGATTTGGTCTTGTGTAGTTGAGTGACATACTTGATAGGCGTCACCCGACCAAGTCCCATCTTATTACTTAGGTCCGCTCAATTCTTGGTTCATGAACCGGGTTCACGAGGTTTTGATGAACCCAGAAAACCCTATTGACCCCCACCAGGCGCGCAAGCACATGACTTTGACAGATGTGTGATGGACACAATCAGGGCGTGATATGGCCATTGAGTCATTGATCTGGGGACTTTGAAAGCGTTTTCGCGCGCGGTTCGTAGATAGGATGCCCAATTAGATAGCTCCCATTGTGTTTCTACTGTAACGACGTTCTGCGCGAGTCCCGTTGATAGCCCAGACTTTCCGTCGCACCTGGCCTGTTTCCGTCGAGTGACGATAGTCCGATACCATCGCGGACACATCCTCGCCCAGCTTACGTTGTCTGACGCTGCGAAGGAAGACCTGAGAGCTATCGATGTCTGTCAGTTGTCTTTTGAGAATAGCGGCGCCGCGCTCCCAGTCATTAATCTTCTCTTCAATTGCTTCTCTCAATTCATCCAACTGTAGAAGTGTCAGTAATGGGATGGAGTGAGGACAAAACAATTGCACGTCATTGAACTCCTCATCCGGGTGGATCGAGGGCTGGGAACGAGCAGGAGAAGAAGAGCGAGGGAGATCGACATCGTTGTTGTCGTTGGGTGCGTCCTTCTCGAAATCCATGTCTTGGATCTTGCAAATTTCGCGGCGGGGCCAAGCGGAACGTGTCGAGGATTCCTCGTGGAAAATGTTCTCGGCCTGGAAGTCCCCGGCTAATTCCGACGCTTCGAATGCCGCTACTAGTATTGTCGAGCCGTCTTTTGCAACAAGGAGTGGGTGATAATAGAATGGCACGACACGTCGGCGATAGACCTCTCGGAAGAATGTGGGGTGCGGAGGATGTAAAGCCTGCACAAGATGCTTGCAGAGTAGGAAGGCATTGTATTTCTGTTGGCCACAAGTGCAAATCCATGTCGACAGATCGGTCACGTACGTGGAACAGCGTGGACCTAGTTCGCGCTTCGAAAGCTTCTTCCATTCTGCTTTGAATGCCGACTGCCATGGTGTGTGTTGCTTGGACCGACCATCTCGGTATTCAGGGTCAAAGTTGCGCATCTTGGCTGCAAGCGCCGGAACAATCTCCCTGGCAATGAGATAGACAAGCTGGTCGAGACGTGGATGGGTCAGATGGAGCAATGTGCCCTTCTTGACGTTCCGCCAGAAATTCTCGACAGCCATGGTAGTACGCCACCGTCCAATAAACGCAGGGTGAGAAGCACGAGCCCAGAGACACCATTTATTGCGGCAGTACCATGCTTCCCACAAGTACGCCCAGACTTCGCGAAGCCCGCGTTGCTTGCAGAATGTATAAGCTTCATAGACGGAGCTCCTCCGAATCTCCTCGGTAGAGAGATAGACACCATTGCTGTCGGGTAGCATGGGATGGAGACATACATGACGAATGAAGAGGTGAACAAGTTGTGCTCGATGAACGACCGGGCAGAAGATATAAACGGTCCCAGCAGTATGGAAGACTGTCCCAAGTGGCTTGTCTCCCTCCTCTAGCCAAGAATCCGCTGCCTCCAGGCGATCATGTTGTTCACCGAGATGTTCTGCAAACTCGTCCTCATCATCCAGGAGATCCAGAATGCTATCTGGGATGCCCATTTCGGGATCTCCCGTGTCTAAGCGATCGAGAACGTTGCGAATATGGCCATCAATGTGGATAACAATCTTTGGACGGGTTGGAGCTCGCGGGACTAAAGCACCATTAAATCGGGGTTGCACGATAGGAATCATCTCCTGCGCGACTTCGATATTGGCCTGTGAGTGCATTAATAATGATTTGATACATTAACGGAATGAACGGACCCTGTCCTGCGGAGGCATCTGAGATACCGGCAGAAAGTTTGTGTCAATGAAGTCAAACTCTGCGAAGGCTTGATCCGCATGATAATGCGCTGGTGGTCGAGTCGTAACCGAAAGACGGCCACGGAACGCCCTGATACCATGCCAAAAGCACAGCAAGTGCTTCACTTCTTTGGGGAAGACAGCTAAGAATGCATTGATTTCAGTGATGTCTTTGTCGCTGAGTGTCTGTATGGGCTTCACTTCCCAGGTCTCAGAGATGTGCCGAATAAGTGCTTGGAGATAGCGTTCCTTGGATCCCGGTTTTGGACTCCCGTTTGACTTGATCAAAAGGAACGCTAGCGGAAGGCCAGATCCGAAAACTTCTCCGAGAATGGCAAAGCATTCATACCCGACCTTGTTTGTTTTGACTGCGAAACAAATTAGTAGTATCACACTATGTGTAGTGCTTATAAATAAACTTACAGGTTGAATCCAGCTGCAATTCCAATACACAGCCACCCCACTTCTTGATCAGCGACGGCAGTCCGAATGCGAAGGCGGTGTAGCCATCGTCCGGATCGTCGGGCAATTCGATGTGCTCAAGAACAGCCGAATCTGGCCTCTCTGCACATAGCTTTTCAATGAGAAACCTGGCTGATTTTTCTTCGTCCTCGTCGAGTCTCCAGGACCCGGAATTCAGCTTCAGCAGGTGATTATACACCTGGTGATACGAGAACAATGGTTCAGGATAGGTCTTGAGGATCTCCTTCCAGATCTTCAAAAGAACAGTGAGACAACATGTCATGGCAGCGGGAAGGGTGCACTCACCTGAGGTCCACGCATGTCAGCTCGATCCTTAATTGTCTGGAGAACGGCCGGGGGAAGATCAATACAAACATAATGCTTGTGCGACTCGTTATGCTGATACCGAATGAAGTAATCACTCTCCCCTTCTGCAGCCCAGAATGTGAGCATCCCGTGGCAGTTGAACGTCTCCATCTGCACTTTATCCCGTGGTTTTACGGTCAGATTTTTGCTCTTCTTTGATCCGTTCTGTCTTGAAGAATCCTGAGCACAGGAATAACGGATGCGCGTCGTTGTTGTGTCCTTGAGATCATATTTATCATGATACCTGTATATATCAAGTCAAAAACAACTTCACAAAGCAGATCACATCATGTACGTGAATCTATACTTGGTACGCTGACCAACAAGGTACGTGACACGATCGAGGATCCGTTTGTATGTGAGAGCGTCGTCGTCACGTATCTCTCGAAGATCCGCATCCTCACAAATCGGATCGATGCTGACAAGCGCCGTCAATTGGCGGACTTCAGGCTTGAGCAGATCTAAGAAGGCCGTGATGGATATTGCTTCGCTCCCTGATCAGAAAATGAGTGTAAGTAGACAGAGTGAGAGGATCAGATTGCTATGTACCAAAGAATCCAGACGCATCATCATCTTCGCGTTCCAGCTGTTTTGTGACAATCAACCCAAAAACAAAGTCGAAAAGAGAAGTAAATTCGAAGACTGGAGAATACAATCAAGTAGCTACAGTATTTATACCCAAATCCAGTCTGAGTCATATCTACAACTAATGAGTCATAGGGCTATGTACCGCATGGAACGCTGGTCATGGGTCGTAGTAGAACCTTCTGGAGCATATGTCGCGCAGCCTCGAATCGATGAAGATAATCCCTGAAACCCCTAGTCCGGACCGTCTGATGCCGTGATCCGTGATAAGATAAGTTGTGCCAAGATAAGATAAGATCGTCGATGATAAGATGAAAAAGTGGCCGAACTATGACATTACCCCCTCTCTAGGGTCGATGTCCTCATCGACCAGGCCAATGGGTAAGAAGACGTTCTCCTAAGGGTCGAAGAGCTGTTGTTGGGGGTATGGAAGGCGCTCGTCCCTGGGCTGGTAGCGATGAATGAGATAGTCCCAGTGTCCAGCTTTGAGCGTTGGCAGGAGGCGAATGCGTGTGTCTGGATTTGATTGTTTCCTCTGCCAGTCTCTCAGGACGTCCTTTGCGTGGGTAAGGTGACGTGATGGTTCCCAGGTGTTCTCGCTGTGCGGCCATCCCTTCCATTTGACCAAGTACTGTTTTCCTCGGCCGACTTTTCGCTCTTTCACGATTTCTTCGACTTCCCACTCCTCTGCTCCTCCGATCATCTTGGCCACGGGTCTCTTCTCTCGGCGATGGGGGGGTGGTTCGTGATAGGGTGTCAACAGTGACTCGTTGAACACCGGGTGTCTTCGGTCCGTGTCCGGTAAATCCAGCTTCCATGCGGCCGCTCCAACCTTCTCCAGTATCTCGTATGGTCCCAATCTCTTGTCGCTCATCTTCTTTGATGGTCTATCCGTCTCGATATTTTCCCCTTCTATGTACACCTTCATCCCAACCTTCAACTCCGGAACTTCTTTTCTTTGTTTATCGTAGTATTTTTTCATTTTTTCTTTTGCTTTTTTCAATGCTGCTTTTGCTTCGTCTTGTATTTCTTTGATTCTTTTTACAAATTCCTCCGCCGACTCGTTCCTTGATTCCATCCGCTGCTCCACTCCCTTCCATGGGTGATATCCGTGATTAGCATAGAACGGCGACATTTTGGTAGACGTGTTCATTTTGTCGTTGTATGCAAACTCCGCCATTCCCAGCCACTCCAACCAGTCCGTCTGATGGTAGTTGACGTAAATGCGGAGATAGTGTTCGATCTCCTGATTCATACGCTCCGTCTGCCCATCCGTGATGGGGTGATATGCGGTCCCCGGATTCATTTCCACGCCCAACATCCGATTCGTTTCCTTCATAAAGCCCTTGATGTATCGAGAGTCCCTGTCAGTGATGATTTTGCGGGGGACCCCGTGATAGCGGAAGATTCGATCCCTGGTTAATCGTGCTACTCCTTCGCTGCTGATGTCAGTACTAATTGGTTCGACATGGATCATTTTGGTGAAGGTGTCACACCACACATGAATTGCGTCATACCCGTTACTGACCGGCAGGGGTCCGATCTGATCCATGGAGATGATTTCCCACGGCGCGTTTGGAACTGCATGCGGGTGCAAACTCCCTGTCCTGGCTCTTCTGGTCTTGGTCCGCTGGCACGCTTCGCACGTCTGGATGTATTTCCGAATTTGGTTTCCCATCCTTGGCCACCAGTAGTTCCTTTCCACCATCTCCTGCGTTCGGTTGATCCCGGCGTGTCCGACCAAAGGGGTGTCGTGGTGTAGTCCGATGATTTTGTCCCGCAACTCCTCGTTCCTTGGTACGTAGAGCTTCCCATGGTACGTGATAAGCCCCTCTTCCTTCTTCCATCCGGCAAGTGACTTCTCTAAGGCCGCCTTGACGCTTCCATCAATTGATCGAATGGCCTTGATTTCGTCAATTAGCTGCTGATCCTGTCCCTCGAATGTGACTTCTTGTGATCGGAAGAACTCGGGCTTCAGTAGCGTGACGTCCTTGTTGTCGTTCTTGCCCTGATCGTGATCTGCTCGTCGGGACAGGAGGTCCGCCTTGCGGTTGAGTGCGCCGGGTCGGTGTCGTAAGGTGAAATCGAACTCCGCCAACTCCGTGATCCATCGTGCTTGCCGTCGATTGAGCTTCTGCGGCTTCCGAAAGTACTCAAGATTCTGATGATCGGTGAAGATCTCGAACGTTTCCGTGGCTCCCAGGAGCAACTGCCTCCATTCGTCAAGTGATAACATGATTGCGAGCATCTCCTTGTCGTAGATCTCATAATTTCGCTCGGTTTCGGTCAAAGCGTGCGAAATAAATGCGATTGGGCGCCAAATGCCGTCTTGGTTTTGGCTCAAAACTGATCCTGTTGCCCCTTCCGAAGCATCGGCTTCCAGACGATATTGGCCAGTGTCATTTGGCAGTGCTAAGACGGCATCCTCCGCGATTCTCTTCTTTAACCCATCAAACGCCGCATGTTCATCCGGACCCCATGACCATCCTGCCTTCCCTGTCAGCCGCGTCAACGGCTTGGCGACCTCCGCATATCCCCGAACGAAACGTCGATAGAAGTTTGTGAATCCGAGGAAGGCTTGGACTTGTTTGACGCTCTTTGGTTCCGGCCATTCCATCACGCCCTTGATCTTGACAGGGTCCATCCGCATCGAGTTGTGTCCAATGATTACACCCAGGTATTCGATTTCCGTGCGTTCGAACTCGCACTTTTCCGGCTTCAGGTATAATTTGTGCTTTTGGAGCAACTCGAGTACCCGTTTGGTGATTCGTCGATGTTCATCCAGATTTTCTGTGAAGATTAGTATGTCGTCCAGATAAACTACCACATGTCCCTCGTTGATCAGTTCCCGGAGTATGTCGTTCATCATGTTTTGGAAAGTTGCCGGGGAATTTGTGAGACCAAAGAACATAACCAAGGGCTCGTAAAGTCCGCGGTTTGTGCGAAACGCAGCCTTCCACTCATCGCCCTCTTTGATCCGTACGTTGTTGTATCCCCACCGGATGTCTAGCTTGGTGAAGAACTTGGCGCCGCACAGGTTGTGGACCAGTTCGGAAATCAGCGGTAGCGGGTACCGATTTCGGATCGTCATCTCATTCAGCTTCCGGTAATCTTGAACAGGCCGTAGCGAGCCATCCTTCTTCTTGACAAAGAAGAATGCCGATGCCATGGGTGATTTTGATGGCCTGATTCGTCCGCTGGCTAGGTTCTCTTGTAAGAACTCGTCGAGTTTGACCTGCTCGTTTCTTGATAAGGGGTACACCTTGCAGTCCACTGCTTTGGAGCCAGGTTTGAGCTCGATCGCATGATCCCATGCCCGTCGGTCCGGTAGCGAGTCGAATGATTCCTTGGCGAATACTTTGACGAATTCTCGGTATTGATCTGGAATCTTTCCCTCGGTCATTCTCTCCTTCTCCTTTTCCGCTTCTTCTGCGAATTTCTGCGCCGGCGTTTCCTTCAGCCGTAGGTCCACCTCCTTTCCAAAGTCGATCAACAAGATCGATTCACCCTCTTCCAGATCCGGTGCACCCGCGTCCAGGTCAATTGCATCCATGTCGATCATTGCTTGGTGCTCCTCGTGACCCCTCATTTGACATTGCTCTGGGCATCGGCTGAATCTCATTGTCTGCTCCTGCCAATCCACCTCGGGGTTGTGTTCCGTCAGCCAATCCAGGCCGATGAAGATCCGGGCTTTTCCCAGACACGTCAGAAGGAACGTGCGTGTCTCCACATGAGGACCGATTCTCATTCTCAAGTCGACGTAGTGTGTGATCCGACCGCTAATGTTCTCGGTGTTGTCGGCGTTACGAGCCACAATGGGTTGCGGAAGCTCTTGGATATCCAGCTTTTCTGCCCGTGCGTAGTCGGTGTCGATGCAGCAGGTACTGCAGCCACTATCGAGCAGCGCCTTGACTCCACGCGTTTTCCCTGAGTCCAGGCCCGTGATCTGGACATATACGTCCATCGAATGCCTCTTTCTTTCGGCTTGGTAACTGCGCAATTCCTGCGCCAATCTGCTGGGCTGGGGGCCCTTCTGTTTCTCGGTCGCCAATTTCCTCTGGATGGCATCTGGCACCCTGGTGTGTTTGGGTGCTTCTGGAACCTCGATTTTGGCAGATTCCTTGGGCGCTTCCTCCTTTTCCAAGGATCGAGCCTTCGGAGCGATGCTCCCCTTTTCGGTCTTTGTTGACGTGGTTCCTTCTCCACGAGCCATAAATACGTAGGAGTCCAAAAATAATTTATCTGCAGCTTTCTGATCCTTTTTATCTTGTAAGTATTTTCTATTTAGAGCTATCTTTTCCTGGCGTTCTTTTTCCATCTCGGCAATAAGAAAATCGTGAATATTTGTACGTAGTGAGTCTGAGATCGTGTATGTAGATGAAATATTGTCCGTATCTTTAATCGAAACAAGTACAGAAAATCGTCCATAGTCCGGACGCTCCACCTCCTTGGCTAGAGGAGTGGAGCGCTTCAAAAACCCTTCTCGCGCAGCTTCTCGGCAATCTCCTTCAGGAACTCGTTGTCCTTGTCCCCGTTCTCGATTTCTTCCAGCATTGTGGCCCGATTGAAGAACGTGCGCTTCTTCTTGGGCTCCGGGCAGTTCCGCGCAATGTGCCCGGGCTGCTGACAGTTGTAGCAGATGATATTGCGGCCGCGGGCGTGGGTACGATCAATTTCCATCGGAACCGGTTCGTTGGCAGCGGGTCGGGCCGGAGCGGGTGTGGGCGCCACTGGTGCCGTTTGGGGACGGAACTGGGGAGGTGGTCGTTGTGTGGGGTGCCCATACGACGCTTTGCGCAGCTGGTCACGCAGAGCATTGGCTTCGATGTTGATGCACCAGGCTTTGAACGCTCCATAGGCCTTGGGCAGAGGGACACCGGTGTTGTAGAGACGGCTGGCGATCTCGCTGCTGAGTCCGCGCTCCAGGAACTCGATGAGGATATTATCCTGGTCCCCCTTCTTGTATTCGCCTTTGTCGTCGGTGGTGTCAACCACATTGTAGCCTGCATCCGCGGCCAACATCTCAAAGTCGGAGATGTAGTCCGCGAAGGATCGTTTGTTTTGACGCAGGGCCATAAGCCGAGCAGCGGCGACTTGTTCCGCATTGGAGTCCCCGAACGCCCTCTGAAACTCCTCCAGGAAGTTCTTTGATGTGACTCCTGCCTTCAGTCCCTGGAAGCCATCGAAGTTGTGCTGCTTCCAGTTCATCGCCCATCTCGAGGCAGCGCAGCTCGTGCCGTTCTCGTTACGGAGGTAGGAGAGGACAAAGAGGATTTTGGTCTCATCTTGTGAGAACTCCGATCGATAGGCACCGATGTAAGTGGTGCACGCGTCCACAAAGCCCAGGTATTTGGACTTGTCGCCATCGAAGTAGGGGGGGTTGGCGGCGAGGGTGATGCGGTGATGCCCTGACATGGTAGGGGCAGGCGTGTGAGGTGGAGGCGAGGGTGGTTGTTCGGAGGGCAGTTCGTCGAGGTCGGGGATCTCGTCTTCAGGCGGTGGGAGGGCGAGGTAGGGGTCGGAGGGCCCGGGTTGGTTTTGATGCGCCAGATCGGGCGACGATGGTACGATGGGGGGAGGGGATGGACTCCCAGACGACGATGGGAATCGGTACGAAATGGTGGATTCGTGTGCTGTACAAGCACTCGAGGAAAGGTTCTTTTGCTAGCAAAAAGATCCCGGGCCTAGCTCTTCACGTGCCCGATGATCCCGAGGTGCGTTTTCCCGAAGGTCTCCGCAGCACTCCTTGTAGCTACCGTAAGGCTTGGGTCGGGCTCAACGTTACCCGTGGCCTGGTGCTGTTTGCTTGATATGAACCCTTCACTGCGATAGTGGAGGACGACTAGATGATTCGGTAAAAGGGTGAGTGGGGTGATAAGGGTTAAGAGGATATAGCGGGCGTAGCGGTGCAAGATGCAGGGTAAGAGGTATGAGGTAGGAGGGTATGAGGGGAGTCTTCGAATTATGTGACAATCAACCCAAAAACAAAGTCGAAAAGAGAAGTAAATTCGAAGACTGGAGAATACAATCAAGTAGCTACAGTATTTATACCCAAATCCAGTCTGAGTCATATCTACAACTAATGAGTCATAGGGCTATGTACCGCATGGAACGCTGGTCATGGGTCGTAGTAGAACCTTCTGGAGCATATGTCGCGCAGCCTCGAATCGATGAAGATAATCCCTGAAACCCCTAGTCCGGACCGTCTGATGCCGTGATCCGTGATAAGATAAGTTGTGCCAAGATAAGATAAGATCGTCGATGATAAGATGAAAAAGTGGCCGAACTATGACATGTTTGGTCCCATTCCCTCTCTTCTCCCGAGCAGCCTTGGCGGTTTCCTCACAACAGCGACGGCAGCGTGAATTCAAAACTGGACCACCAGCTCTGAACTGCGCCCCCCAATGTTCACCGGTTGCGGGGCGGTTTTTACGACATCGTGTACATTTCTTCTCAGTCATATCAATATGTCGGACGCGTCGAAGGGGGGGTACTTAGAAGCAAAGAAGAAAATTTGATGACAGGATCTGTCGCGCGCGACACATCACAGATTCCACGTAAGCAAAATCTCCATGTTATCTGCTTATCTGCATCCTATCTACGAACCGCGCGCGAAAACGCTCTCCAAGTCCCCAGATCAATGACTTGATGGCCATATCACGCCCTGATTGTGTCCATCACACATCTGTCAAAGTCATGTGCTTGCGCGCCTGGTGGGGGTCAATAGGGTTTTCTGATGAACCCGACAGCTCCTGACAGTTGCCATCACGCTTAACTAAAATCGGCCGATGGCCAGCAGAGATGTCTCCGTTTAAGGACAAACATGTACGGTCTTACAGCGTTGGACCAAAATGATACTCGAGAGCAAGCCTAGACGTTACTTCAACTTACTTGACTCCCTGGCTGTATGAGCTTGTATTTTTTCCCAAGTAGTGATTCATTCCAATTGTGGTAGGTAGTTGAAAGAAATCCATACATATACTGAAAATGGACCCTCAAGTATCCTCAGTTATTCTCCCTGTCCTTTCTTGACATGATAGGTCTTATTCTATACGAGCGTTATGGGCTGTGTCTTCGTCACAGGGACCCAGAATGGATGAATCAGGGGTGTGGCTACGAGGCGCCTGAATGCAGTGAATATGGCATTAGTGTTGCCGCAGTTCATGGAAGCGATATAAGACAAGCTCTCCCTGTTAGGGATCCGCGACCTAGTGCCCATTAGTCTGGAAGCAGAATGAAAAAAAAATTGAGGTGAGGCTGCGCTTCCATCGTGCTGGTGGAATGGGTAGCAAGCATGCTGCATCAGGTGTAAACAAAAATGAGCAGCCCCACTTGATCAAAACTGCCCAATCATTTGAAATCTGCTGTAATCAGTCCTGAAGACAAGAGCCTATGAGTGCGATCGCTAGCTGTGGTCGAATTGATTTCAGTCCGTTCACATGAAGCAGAGATGAATGCGTGATATTAGGTTTTCGCTTGCACTGTATACTACGTGTGTGTATAAATAATTATAGTAACCTACATGTAAGGCATCAACGCCTGGGGCAGGATCTGGTTGACGGAGGCACCGCTCGGCGGCTCGATGGACGTGAAGTACTGCAAAACCGTCAGCCCGCACTGGAGCTCGAGGCATCACCACACTCACGTTGGCCCACCACGGGCCGGCTGCCCACCAGGAAGCACCGATCCAGACGCCCGACTGCTGCATGGCACACATCGCGCCTTTGACAGCCGCTGTGCCGGTGGTCAGTCCAAGCACCCTCAGCTGCCCACGCATAACTGAAAGAACGCACAGATGCAGTCCGCGTTGTTTCCGGCACCGATCTCACCGAGGAAGCCCTTGAGGTTGTTGGCTTTGAGCCAGCTGGTGGCGGCCTGCAACCGCTCTGCGCCGATCGTCGGGGACACACAGGTCGGGTTGGTACCTGAGCCATCGCTGTCGAGGTACTGGTGCATCTGGATGGCGACGTTGTGGTTGGGATCAGTGATGTTTCCGAAAACGGCTGAGTTGCCAGAAGAGATCCACGCTGGACAACATCAGCAAGTAGCAGCATGGTTACCGGGACTCGACTCACTCCAGCCGCCGGTCCAAGCTGGAGATAAGTCAGCGATGCAATCGAAATAACAATAACCCGATGAAGCTCACCAGTTCCCTCCACGAGAATGAGTTGGGAGGTCGCTGGCCATCGATCAGGATCATTTCATCTCTCTGCGAAGTGACTGGACCCACCTCCACTGGAACGGATACCGTAGATCGCAGCCTGGTTGAGCGCGAACGCAGTCGATGCCGGGATCCCGTTGGGCTCGTTCATCACATCGAAGATAACGTTGGGGTTGGATTTGAAGACGGTGGCCAAGTTCTTCCAGACTGCGAAGACGGCTTGTTAGTTAAAGCGACTTCCCACAGAAAGACCGAGACTCGCATTGCTGGAACCTGGAATGACCCGATGAGCGGAAGCGGAGACGCTAAGCAAGCGGACGACTCACTGCGTGGTGTCCGTAATGGCTTGGTTGTTGTACAACATATAGTTGTGCGCTACCGCAAAGTCAATTTTCAGTCGAGCATCGAAACGCTTCCGCGCTCACGGTCCAAAGCCACATGGGCACCCTTTCCGGTGATGTAAGTCACGGACTTCGGGCACCAGTCAGAATTCAGAAGTATTCCGGAGGTTGTGATCGACCGACCGACTGAATACGACCCAGATAAGTCTGGTCAAAGGGACCCGTAAGACCTCCCGCAGGCGGGACAAGACGTTCGAGCATGAACGGCATCCGGAAGAAATTGAAGCCCTTGTTCACGAAGTAATCGATCGAGCTAACCGATTCTCAATCCGATGCAGAATCAATCGCCTATGAGACTGAACGCACCTGGGAGCGGGGAAGATGTAGTCAGTCCCGTAGACACCAGGCCACTTTCCACTTCCAAATTCAGCGCCGGACTGATTGACGCCAAAGAACTGCAGATGCATTAGCAGGGATCAGCAAACACACGATCTCGGCTCACTTTGAACTTGGTAGCACCTGAGCACCCCGAACTCGCCGGTGCGGACGCTGTGCTGGTAGGTGTCGTCGGCGAGGTGACCACCGCAGACGTTGTCGACGAGGGTGGCGGGGCAGTTCCCGGCAGACACTGCGAGTAGTCTAGACAGCCGTGATCAGTTAGCGCCGGCTACAAACATCCACGGGAGGAAGCGCACAAGAATTGTTGGCGGTGCACACCGACCCTGCATCGCAGACTGTGGATCCAGTGTAACCAATGCCCTAGATAGTCGATCAGAGCGCCTTCAGCAGCGCGCACCAAGGCGGACTCACACCGCATTGCCCATAGACGGCCACCGATGCAGCAGGGGAGATCACAACAGCCAAAGACGCAAGTGCCAAGAGATACTTCATTGCAGTGAGAAGGCGGGAGGGAGCTGCTTGAGATTTCCAGTCTGCGCATCCGCTCTCTTAAAGACCTGAGCGCAATAAAATCCGAGGATCGACCCTGACTCGGTCTCGAAGGCCAGCGAGACCATCATCGAGGCGGAAACGTGACCCGACAATTATCCACCATCCCTGCCGACCCTGCACGAGCCGGCGAGATAGTCCACCGCCATCCTAGCAACTGATCAAATAACAAAACGGCACTGACATTCGCCGGGAAAACACGCGATAACCGTCCACATCCTTCAAGATCCTCGACCTGCATCGTTTTGGAATAGGCCTCGAATTAGACAGTCTGCCATAGACTCGAGGATAAGAGGCAATGATGCGTCCATCAGTGCTTGATTTCCTTCCAAGTCCCATGACAAGCACATGAGTGCATGTGCCCAGATCCACAGTACTTCGGATTTATAGACCCCGAATGGCGGAATTAGCACCGAGGAACTTCCTCACACAGCGTGCGAGACGATAGCTGTGCTAATTTTGTCCAGCTGAATGGTTCGCGTGCTTCATACTGCGCATACATGAGAGGCCGGACATCTTGCCGCTCTCTGCAGCGCCGAGTATTCATCGGTAACCACTCTGTCGTCTCGTCATCGTTCACGCATGTATTCAGTCGGTTAGATGCAGCGAGCATAACATGAGTGAATGGGAGTTGGGGAAGGACAGCTGGGCTGATGCGGCACAGGCCTAAGAGTGAATTCTTGTCGGAGATGTATTCGGCTTGGTAGAAAGTTGAGGCGGAGGTCAGCCTAGATGTAAAAATTGGATCAACCGTGCAGCTAGATTGTTGACATGAGTCAGGTCAGGTCAGGTCTCGCGTGACTCAGTGGCGGAGCTAGCTCGTAATTGGCACATCCGTGGGAACATCAGCATTCCGGCTCGGTATGAAAGACGGGCGCGACATCAGAAAGAACATGAGCTGAAAACAAAATGGGCTCGTGAATGTTAGCCCATGTACCATTAGGGTGTTTCACGACACTGTTTTGTGTCATTTTTACCATCTCTTTGTTTTTGATCCATCAAAAAAAGACTCCCATAAACATATTGCCTTTTTTGTACCCATTGCAAAAATGTCTCTGGCGTAGCGTTGTTGGCAGATCATTTCTGCTGAGATGGCATTACCTGGCAATTGCCAGCAGGGGTCTCAGAGGGCATGGCAGAACTCGGCCAAAATCATATCAGTTGGATCACCTGTAGATTAGAATTTGATATCTTCCATCTTTCCTTCTTTCCTCATTATTCCGAAGAAAAATCATGGCTGGAGGAAGATGTCTGCCTGAGAAGATCTGTTGATCAAATATCATCTGTCAAGATGGATGTTGTGATACACATCTATGACTCCATCACATGTCATCTAGAGTCATATCGACTCGTACCAAATAGACACAAACAGCCCCCTGTATCATATATAAGGAGGGCTCTATTACCCTTTAATACAAGTCTCTTGACTACTCCTGCATAGCGCCCACACTAAGCTCTCACTCACACAGGTGAGCTGCTAGATGCTCTCCCCAGTGCTCAACAGATTATGGGCCCCGAGAGCTAAGGTAGGCGTCAAACGCATCCATCGAGTCACGTGTCTCCTGACGTGACATCCCCCACCAGATGCTACTGCTCGGCGACAACAGTTTTTGCCGCCCATGTGAAACCACAGGGAGGACTGGAAACATGTTTAGGAAGATTCTGTGGTCACCGATTTCATTTAATAAGTCTCAATAAAAAGTTTTAGCCATTTTGTTGGAAATGAAGCAGAACGGCCAACTGAGAACTCTGGGACCAACTTGAAAAAAGAGCGGGAAAGATAGGGAAAGATTTGCGCTTCCTAAAAAGGAAACCCTAACCTAAAACGCAATCACGTGCCTTCGTCGAGCCAATCTTTTGCTTCTTGCTCGAACCCACTGGGATTACTGAGATATGCCAAGAAGAAAGAGGAGTAACATCCAGAATCTTGGTGGCCATGCTAATAAGGTGACAACTGTGCTCTACCCTTCAGGAATCCAAGCCTGACGGATCTGCAGCGCTATAGTCCCGATGGCTCATTCAAGGGTATGGCTGAGCTCATTCGCGAGCGACGAGCCCATGGACACGATATTCCGGATCCGAATGTGCGAACAGCTGATGGGAAGAAGCTGAAGGCTCAATGCGGAAAGAACTTTGGCTGCCGTGCATCATCGTCAACTCGGTGCTGCATGAGGAAGATTCTCTACTCCGAGCCGGACTTTTCAGGGCAAAAGTCTATGCTCGAGGAGCATTGTCAAGCTCGGGGATACGAAGTCATCTTTTTTCCAAAATATCATCCAGAATTGAACTTCATCGAGCAGTGTTGGGGCTACGCCAAAAGGGTCTACCACATGCTACCACTATCTTCCAGCGAGGACGAACTGGAGAAGAATGTCATTGCAGCCGTTGATTCCGTGCCCATCGAGTCAATGCGTCGCTTCGCCACTTGTTCTTCACGCTTTGCAGATGCATACCATCAGCTGAATGGTTCAGAGGCCACATGGACTAATAAGAAGTACAGAGGGCACAGAACCCTCCCTCCACAGTATTTAGATGACCTACGACATGCTCGATTGAAATAGATCTTTGTTTCAAACTACTGTAACTACAAAAGTTCTGGTCTCCAGAATTTCGCGCTTTTCCACGTTACTGTCACCCATCAGTCACGCTTCACGTGACTTGATGGATGCGTTTGACGCCTACCTTATGTCTGCGCCTGTGACAATCAACCCAAAAACAAAGTCGAAAAGGGAAGTGAATTCGAAGACTGGAGAATACAACCAGGTAGCTACAGTATTTATACCCAAATCCAGTCTGAGTCATATCTACAACTAATGAGTCATAAGGCTATGTACCGCATGGAACACTGGTCATGGGTTGTAGTAGATCCTTCCGGAGCATATGTCGCGCAGCCTTGAATCGATAAGGATAATCCCTCGAACCCCTAGCCCGGGCCGTCTGATGCCGTGATCCGTGATAAGATAAGCCGTGCCGAGATAAGATAAGATCGTCGAAGATAAGATGAAAAAGTGGCCGAACTATGACATTACCCCCTCTCTAGGGTCGATGTCCTCATCGACTAGGCCAATGGGCGTGAAGACGTTCTCGTAAGGGTCAAAGAGTTGTCGTTGGGGATAGGGGAGGCGCTCATCCCTGGGTTTATAGCAATGAATAAGATAGTCCCAGTGTCCAGCTTCGAGAGTTGGTAGGAGGCAAATGCGTGTGTCTGGGTTGGATTGTTTCCTCTGCCAGTCTCTCAGGACGTCCTTCGCGTGGGTAAGGTGGCGTGATGGTTCCCAGGTGTTCTTGCTGTGCGGCCATCCCTTCCATTTGACCAAGTACTGTTTTCCTCGGCCGACTTTTCGCTCTTTCACAATTTCTTCGACTTCCCACTCCTCTGCTCCTCCGATCATCTTGGCTACGGGTCTCTTCTCTCGGCGATGGGGGGGTGGTTCGTGATAGGGTGTCAACAGTGATTCGTTGAACACGGGGTGTCTTTGGTCCGTATCCGGCAGATTCAGCTTCCATGCGGCCGCTCCAACCTTCTCCAGTATCTCGTATGGTCCCAATCTCTTGTCGCTCATCTTCTTCGATGGTCTGTCCGTCTCGATATTTTCCCCTTCTATGTACACCTTCATCCCAACCTTCAACTCCGGAACTTCTTTTCTTTGTTTATCGTAGTATTTTTTCATTTTTTCTTTTGCTTTTTCCAATGCTGCTTTAGCTTCGTCTTGTATTTCTTTGATTCTTTTTACAAATTCCTCCGCCGACTTGTTTCTCGATTCCATCCGCTGCTCTACTCCCTTCCATGGGTGATATCCGTGATTGGCGTAGAATGGTGATATTTTGGTAGACGTGTTCATTTTGTCGTTATATGCGAATTCCACCATTCCCAGCCACTCCGACCAGTCCGTCTGATGGTAGTTGACGTATATGCGGAGATAGTGCTCGATCTCCTGATTCATGCGCTCGGTTTGCCCATCCGTGATCGGGTGATATGCTGTCCCCGGGTTCATCTCCACGCCCAACATCCGGTTCGTCTCCTTCATGAAGCCCTTGATGTATCGTGAGTCCCTATCGGTGATGATTTTGCGAGGGATCCCGTGATAACGGAAAACCCGGTCCCTTGTCAACCGTGCTACTCCTTCGCTGCTGATGTCAGTACTAATGGGTTCGACATGGATCATTTTGGTGAAGGTGTCACACCACACATGGATTGCATCATACCCGTTACTGACCGGTAGGGGTCCGATTTGATCCATGGAGATGATTTCCCATGGTGCGTTTGGAACCGCATGCGGGTGTAGGGTCCCCGTTCTTGCCCTTCTGGTCTTGGTCCGTTGGCATGCCTCGCACGTCTGGATGTATTTCCGAATTTGGTTCCCCATCCTTGGCCACCAGTAGTTCCTTTCCACCATCTCCTGCGTTCGGTTGATCCCTGCATGTCCGACCAGGGGTGTGTCGTGGTGTAGCCCAATGATCTTGTCCCGCAGCTCCTCATCCCTTGGCACATAGAGCTTCTCGTGATACGTGATGAGCCCATCTTCCTTCTTCCATCCGACGAGTGACTTCTCCAAGGCCGCTTTGACGCTCCCGTCAATCGATCGAAGGGCCTTGATCTCATCGATTAGCTGTTGATCCTGCCCTTCAAATGTGACTTCTTGTGATCGGAAGAACTCAGGCTTCAGTAATGTGACGTCCATGTTGTCGTTTTTGCCCTGATCGTGATCCGCTCGTCGAGACAGGAGATCCGCCTTGCGGTTGAGTGCGCCGGGTCGGTGTCGTAAGGTGAAATCAAACTCCGCCAGCTCCGTGATCCATCGTGCTTGTCGTCGGTTGAGTTTCTGCGGTTTCTGGAAGTACTCGAGATTCTGATGATCGGTGAAGATTTCAAACGTTTCCGTGGCCCCCAGCAGTAATTGCCTCCATTCGTCTAACGATAGCATGATGGCGAGCATTTCCTTGTCGTAGATCTCATAATTTCGCTCGGTTTCGGTCAATGCGTGTGAAATAAATGCGATTGGGCGCCAAATGCCGTCTTGATTTTGGCTCAAAACGGATCCTGTTGCCCCTTCCGAAGCATCGGCTTCCAGACGATATTGGCCGGTGTCATTTGGCAGTGCTAGGACCGCATCCTCCGCGATTCTCTTCTTCAGCCCGTTGAATGCCGCATGCTCATCCTGTCCCCATGACCATCCTGCCTTCCCTGTCAGCCGTGTCAATGGTTTGGCAATCTCCGCATATCCCCGAACAAAGTGTCGATAGAAGTTGGTGAACCCTAGGAAGGCTTGTACTTGTTTGACGCTCTTTGGTTCTGGCCATTCCATCACACCCTTGATCTTGACTGGGTCCATCCACATCGAATTGTGCCCAATAATTACACCCAGATATTCGATTTCTGTGCATTCGAACTCGCACTTTTCGGGTTTCAGGTACAACTTGTGTTTTTGGAGCAATTCGAGTACTTGTTTCGTGATCCGCCGATGTTCGTCCAAGGTTTCTGTGAAGATCAGAATATCGTCAAGATAAACTACCACGTGGCCCTCGTTGATCAGTTCTCGAAGTATGTTGTTCATCATGTTTTGGAAGGTTGCCGGAGAATTCGTGAGGCCGAAGAACATGACCAGGGGCTCATACAGCCCACGGTTTGTGCGGAACGCAGCCTTCCATTCGTCGCCCTCTTTGATCCGTACGTTGTTGTATCCCCACCGGATGTCAAGCTTTGTGAAGAACTTGGCGCCGCATAGATTATGGACCAGTTCGGAGATCAGCGGCAGCGGGTATCGATTTCGGATCATCATCTCGTTCAACTTCCGATAATCTTGGACGGGACGTAGCGAGCCATCCTTTTTCTTGACAAAGAAGAATGCTGACGCCATGGGTGATTTTGATGGCCTGATCCGTCCACTGGCCAGGTTCTCTTGCAAGAACTCGTCAAGCTTGACCTGCTCGTTCCGCGATAAGGGGTACACCTTGCAGTCCACCGCTTTGGAGCCAGGTTTGAGTTCAATCGCATGATCCCATGCTCGTCGATCCGGTAGCGAGTCGAATGATTCCTTGGCAAATACTTTGACAAATTCCCGGTATTGATCCGGAATCTTCCCCTTGGTCATCCTCTCCTTCTCTTTTTCCGCTTCTTCTGCAAATTTCTGCGCTGGCGTTTCCTTCAGCCGTAGATCCACCTCCTTTCCAAAGTCGATCAACAGGATCGATTCACCCTCTTCCAGATCCGGTGCGTCCGCGTCCAGGTCAATTGCGTCCATGTCGATCATTGCTTGGTGCTCCTCGTGACCCCTCATGTGAAACCGCTCTGGGCATCGGCTGAATCTCATTGTCTGCTCTTGCCAATCCACCTCCGGGTTGTGTTCCGTCAGCCAATCAAGGCCAATGAAGATCCGGGCCTTCCCTAGACACGTCAGAAGGAACGTGCGTGTCTCCTCATGAGGACCGACTCTCATCCTTAGGTCGACATAATGCGTGATCCGACTGCTGATGTTCTCGGTGATAGGCTGGCTACCAGACGCGCTCTGCACCAGCTCTGTAAGGGCGTATTTTTGCGCTTTTTACAGAGTTTACTCTTGAACCATTCGGTGTATCGTGTCGCGGTTGACAGTGTTGCGCTCAGTAGGACTTATGGGTCTACTGCCCAGTCGACGACTGTGGATAGTGTCGACGATAGCAAGGCAGTCAGACCACTACTGTGGAACTGGTCTTATGGGTCTACACCAGGCTCAGG